GAATGGCCAGGCCTCAACCACAGCAAAGCCATGCTCCTGTGGTTTTCCAGTACTGTTCTTCAGAGGAGCCAGAGCAGGCCACTGGTACCTTTTAAGCCATGTAGCATGATAGGCTTTAGATGAGATGCAAGACCCTGGGAGCTGTTGGTGAGAATCACTGTGAACGAGATGCTGTCCTGCACAATTCCAGTCTTGGGGTCACAAAGACAGATCTCCATCAGAGATTCTTTGGTATCTTGCTGAATTACTTTTCATTTGGATTTTTTTGCTTCATCAAATTTTGGCTTCTTCTTGGTATATTAGCAATCCAATGACTCCATGAGAATACCAAAGTATGTATCCTCCTAATAAAGCTTGAAAGTGATCAAAATGTAACTGGGGACATGTGACTCTCTAGAGAAAGCACAGGCAGCAGAGAAAGCCATCCTAATCTCCCCAGTGAGATCTCACCTTGTGAATAGGAGCAGGAAAGAGGGAACCTATATGGATCACTGAACTCCAGACACTGTTCAGAGCTTCTGGGACCGTTTAACTTGAGCTTACCCTACCTCCTGGACAGCTGCTGGGTTTGGATACACAGTGAAGCCCTTCAGCCTGGTAACGTGTTGGACACTGGGTGCCAGCTCAGACTGCCTTGCAGAAACACACACCTTGAATTCACCATGGTAGTCTTGATAGGTTGGGGACATAGCCTTGCTTTGCTTCAGCAGCCTGTCCCACTCATGCACCAGCCACACCTGAGTATAGCATGTACCTCAGGACAGCCAGGGCCCACGCATCCCAGAAGAATTGTGCTTCTGCCGATGTCACTCCCATTATGCTGCCTGGCAGGGAACGGTGCCATTCTTTGCATTTGGGGCCCTTCCTGCTGCTCATCTCCAGAATGTCAGGAATAAGGAGGAAAGTTTATCAGAGCCTATCCAAGCAAGACCATCCCACACAACGCAGCTATATTTTTTTAATTCTTAGAATTTTTCATTCATACATCTGTAGCATAGATTATATTCATGTGGGGAGCTGGTTCATGTAAACAATCACCTTAATCTCTTTTCCTTCCCCTCTCTCCTCCATCTCTAGATCCTCTTTCCATTTATCTACCTCCCTGTTTCCTGTTAACCTTTATTTTGCTCTTCATACTTCGGGCTTTTCATAGCAAGCACGCAGTATTTAAATCCCATCTTTTGTCACCTAACATTATTGTCACACAGCGCATCAGCTTTTCTATAAGTGACTCAATTATCCTTCTTTATGGCGTAGCACTCCACTGTGTATACTTTCTGTAGTCACTTGTTGATGGACATAGAGGTCATTTCCAAGATTTAGCTACTATGATTTGCGCTGCTATCACTGTAACTTGTCTGTAACTCTCTCAGGAAGACACCTAGAAGGAACAGCTGTACTCCATGGAATTCTGGTTGGAGAAATCTCCACATGGCTTTCCATAGTGGTTGTGCTGGTTCATATTCCCACCAACAATGCAGAAGGGTTCCTCTCTCCCCACAGCCAGCATTTGTTACTATTTGATTTGTTAAAAGTAGCCATTCTTTGTGAATAAAGTAGAATCTCAGTACTTTTTTAATTTGCATTCATTCCTCTAGTAGCCAGAGATGCTGAATATTATTTCATGTGTTTACTGGCTATTTTTACTTCTTCTCAGTGTCTATCCATTTTAGTTGCCTATTTTTTGACAGAGTCTTTTTATTTTGGAGGATCTGGTTTGAGTTCTTCATATGTTCTAGATACTAGTCTTTTGCTGACGAGTAGCTAGCAAAGTATTTTTCCCATTCTGTAGGTTGTCTCTTCACTCTACTGGTTATTTCCTTTGCTGAGAAGCCTTTTATTTTGGTATAACCCTATGTATTGATTCTTGATATTATTTCCTGTACAACTGGGGTTCTATTCAGAAAGACCTTACCTGTCTTCAACAGTTATACCTATTTTACATTCTGGATCTGCTCTTCACCTGGGTGGGTGTCAATAATAGGGTACCCATCTGTGGCCCAGAGTAGGTGACCTGCAGGGGTTGCTCTGACCACCAACTACTACATTTTAAGGTCTTTGAGGTCCACTGGCTTGGAAGAACCAGGCTGGGTGCTCAACTGGAAGGCACGGGAGGTGAGGCGTAGGCCAGCAGCTATATGGGAGCTGTGTACGTCTCTTAAATTTTGTTTCTGTAATATTTTTCTGTTCTTTTTTCATAGAATCCTCTTTTATGCAGCTATTTTCTTAAATCTGAGCATAACAGAATATATGTACTTCTTCCATTTCCTAAAAACCCCATTCTTTAGGGGTCAGTTACCATGGATTGTCTTTTTTCATGCTTTTGGTTCTGCTCAACGACTTCATTCTTTAAAAAAAAAAAAAAAGATGGATCTGTTGGTATGGGTTTCCTCAGGTGAGCCTTTTCCCATATGACAAAGTCCACTTAAGATCTCTGAGTGAGGTGGGGCCTGGCAGGGGTGCAGAATGGGAAAGGACAAATTGCTGCACTTTGCTTTATGGTCGAGAGCTGGCTGTCCAGACTGTGGGACTTTCTAAATGGCAGAGTGAGGCCTTAAACCTAGATGACAACATCTGTTGTGAGCATCAGGGAGGGAAAATGAGGTAGCATGCCAACTGGTGCAAAATTCCATATACAAGATTTCAATTAATCTCTTTTTTCAGTACCACTTCTCACTCTCACCATCCAGTATACCTGCCAATTTGGGGCCCAGGGTCTCTTGGGATTCCAACAGGCAGGCTGCTTCCCAGATCTCTCTAGTTCCCTTCGAGCACATTCTGAGCTGTAAATCTTTCCACCTCTTCTGTCAACATGCTCCCATCTGCTTTGTCTTCTAGAAATTCACCGAAGGCTGTCATCTGTTGCTTAATACCTCTCCTCATCTCACTGCTATTCTAAGTTTATTCCCCTTATTACATAAATCAGATTAATTCAGCAGGGTCCTGCAAGGGGTTGGAGAAATCTAATCCTCAATCTTTCTTGAACTTTCTGACCACGGATCTGGTGTAAAGAAACAGGCATGTGTTATTTGTAATGGTGTTTATTAAAAGTATAGAGGAAAAGGAAATCAGTTTCTAATGTAAGAAATTTTGTGTAATAAATTCAAATATATTTGTATTTGTTCAGAAAGAGGATCTTTTAGCATTTTATTAAAAATGTGCTCTTAAAAATGAAACCAAGAAAATTTCTAGTTTCCTCTAGATTTGATGACCTGAGATTTTTGCTATTCAACTGTGAAAAACAGTGACTTATCTCATGAAGAAGGGAAGCTTGTGGAATGTTGTGTATGTGGTAAAATGGACAAGTTTATTTGGAAATGCTGATTGTGAAGTGCTTATGAGGTGGTTGCCGAGGAGATGTCAAGTAGGTTGTTGAATCAAGATGTGGTTTTCAAAATTGGTTATTAACCATGATTGATACGGTATCACCCCAAGAAATAAATAACTTTCAAGGAAAGAGAATTCTAGAGAACACAAACAGTAAAGGAAAGGAAGAACAAAATCATTTTTCAACAGACTGTATAGGAGGGGTGGATCTTGTCAACTGCAACTGAGATTTGATGATTTGCTGCATTCTTTCAAGATCTTTCGGAGGATTTTTGCATCTATATTCATTAGGGAGATAGCAAGTGAGAGCAAGGCTGAAGAGTACACACGAATTTTGGTAATTAAATTTCTTAATGCATTGCAAAACTAATTGAAGAGGACATGAGAGCAAACTTCAGATGTCATCTCAAATCCTGACTCCACTGTAGTGCTACCCTCCCCGAGTGCATCTCTCCAGTGGTGACAGCAGAAGACAGAGGGAATAATTAATCCAGAGCTGAAATTTTGCTGGTTGGCTAAGAACTGAATGAAAAGAATACGCAGGTCTGAGATGAAGAGTTGTGGGAATAGCTCATGTAGTTCAGCATGAAGAAAGAAACATAATTAAGAGGTGTAGTATCTGAAAGCTGCACAGGACTCAGAGGGGCCGGAGGACTGTGCTCACTGAAGCGGAGAAGACAGAAGAGCAGGGTTAAGGCACACAGACGGCAAAGGCATCTGAGGTGACTGCAGGTGGTGAGGAAGGGTGAGGGCTGGTTTCTGAGCTTTCTTCAAATATGCAGAAGTGATGCTAAAACGAAATGTTCACAAGCAGCAGAGAGTGCATTTTTCCTTACCTGAGAAATCAGGACATCCAAGGACACTGTGGCCTACATGAGCAATCAAAGAGAAAGCTCAAGAAGACAGGGCTGCAGGCCTCCCTAGGGTAGGGCTACCGCCGCCAGGCCAGGGCTAGCGCAGCTGCCCACTCTAGAGGGGCTGCAAGTGCAGGAGGCAGATGAAGCAACTTGGTACGCAGCCTTTCACAGAACAACTGGACCCGTGCTGATTATTTCAAATAGTTGGGAGCATTATTTTATTACCCTCACAACCAGCAGGCAAAGTCTGACAACTATGCGCCATGTCTAGTGGATGTGGCATGTCCTAAGAGAACTGGGAAAGCTCATCAAGTCCTGGGAAGTCTCTAGCACTCAAGACAGGGACGAGAGCCAAGAATGAATGAGGCAGCAATGTGAAGCCCACCAAACAGGGCAGCTGCGCACATGAAGACAGGTCCGTGGCCCACTCAGCAACACAGCGCAAGGACACCTGGGAAAAGCAGGCACACAGTTTGCCCTGACTGACAGGGTATTCTTTCTGGGATCACAGACATCAGCAAAGAGTTACGTTATGTGACTTGGCAGTTATGCTACATCATTTGCTGTCTATTAAAAAAAAGGTAGGGTTCCCATTGGCTGAAAGATTGCAGTAGAATCAGAAGGATAAGAAAAGGAGAGGCAGATGCAGTTTGTCTAACAGCTAAGGGGAAATCTTTTAAGGCCCCTTCTAGTCCAGAGCAAGATTTAGTAATCTTGGTCCACTATGAATGGGAAAAAAATTTGCTTCCCAACTTCTTTATCATACAATGAAAAAGTACATGAAAGCTTGAGCATTACCTTTAAAAACACACTTACCTGTTTCTTTTTAGGAAATGCTCTGCTTGTGCACTTGGTCTCCTGCGATTTCCTATTGATTTTCTTTTCCTTACAAGGCTGAGCTTCCGCATGACGTAAGTTGCAACCATTCTCTTCCGTGAAGGCCGGCTGCTGTAATGAAAATCCAAAGGTCAGGTCCACAAGTGTGAGCCAGCACAACGGAACACACCGCTCTTGCTTTACTGTGTTCCCTACGACAATCACCACCTCACATCTTGTTACTTCTTAATTCACTAATTCGATTACAGGTGTGTTTTAACCAAAATTCAAATAAGGAAAATGGTATTTACCAATTTGTAAATGTATAAAACAGATTGAGAAGCAAATGGCTACTACCCAATTATACTAGTAAGAAAGGAAAAACTTAACCAGTTCATTTATTCATTTATCAAATATTTATGCAGAACAGACAATTTAGTACCCAACAATTCTTGCGTTACAGGAAAGGAAATCATGAATATCTAGGTTTGAATTTGGGGTTTATAAACAAAACCATATCAGCTAAAAGCCCTACAATAATATATGCTTATATACTATGATCACAGACAAAAATCCAATGTTATCTAACTTAATAAAATGTCAACAGACATATATTTCCAGCTAAAACAAACAGTTCAAAGCAATTTAACACGCTCATGACAGGGCCATATAACTTGTGTGTCTCGCTGCTGGGTGGCTTGAATCACTGATGTATGTGCATGACTATTCCATGTGGCAAGTTTTGTTTCAAAATTAAGTTTGTTGTTAAAAAGACCATTACAAGCGATTACACTCTTTTGTACCACCAGTGGTACTAGCTGCTCGATGGGACTGTCATTCATGTACCAACTGTGGTTCAATCAGGAGAGAAGATGTTAAGAGGCAGGGAGATAGCTTGGTGGTCTAAGTGAACTGCCTGGTAAGTGCAAGGACCAGGGTTCGATCCCCATAACCCTGGGCATGCCATGCTGGTCCCGAAACCAGGTGTGGTGGTACACATCTGTAATCCCAGCACTGGGGAGGCTGAGGCAGGAGGATCACTATAAGTCTGAGCTGGGTAGCAAGACACTGTACCAAATAAATAAATAATTTAAAAAACTTAAAAAAAAATTGTTGTATATATTCATTTGTGGGCAGCACCAATCACACACAGAGCTCCACATTCATCTCAAAAAAATACTTGAAAGACCACAGATCTCAAACAAACTTCTCAAGCAGATTACCACCTTCCATATTAACACAAATCTGAAAGCATCTTCTAACAGAATTAAAATCAAATCAGTAGGGCTGGTGAGATGGCTCAGTGGTCTAAAGCACCTACTTAGAACAAGCTAAGCAAAGCACAGGGACCGCGGTTCAATCCCCCAGCACCACATGCCAGCCAGCCCTGCCCCCGGTGGGCTGAGCTGGCCACACACACACACACACACACACACACAAAATAAATAAATAAAATTAAAAAAAAATCAAATCAGTAAAACATAACTCTGTTAGATAAGGTTTAAACTCTTCATGACACTGATCAAACCAAGATCTTATCTATTGTAACTTGATCATTAAAATGGAAAAAATATGACTTAACAGAAACACTTACATTTCTTCTGTTAGAAGTCCGTGTTGGTTTAGCAACTTTACAGGATGATAGTTTCCTGTGGATATTTGAAGAATTAAAAGCATCAGTACCTGGTAAGAAAGAAATATGCAAAATCAGATGACTAACAAAAAACTAAAATGTACATCATCATTTGGAAAATGTTGCAAAGTTTTTTGGGTACTTACTTTTGCTTTTAATATATCTGAACATAAATATTTAAAAGGGTTGAATTCTGAAATAAATTTTTAGAAAAATGTGCTAAATACCGAGAAACTTTCACAACTTTCCAAGCACAGCATCAGCCTCAGACAACAGACTAATGCATATTATGATACATTTCTACATAAATCATACAATAAATGTATATATTTCCAGAATCCTGTTAATTTCAAATTACATTTAGTCATATGAAACTGCAAAAAGAGCATTAAGATTATCGTAAAATGTTTTATTTAAAGTTTTGTACAGGTTAGGTAAATTTTAATTTGGTTGCTCTACATGGTACAAATGAAACACAGCCTAAGGAGTTTAAGACCAGACTTTGCTGTATAACAGACTGGTTCAGATTTTGGCTCTAGGGCTGGGGAAATAGTTCAGGAGAATAAGTGCTTGCCTGGCAAGCACAAGGGCCTGAGTTCAATCCCCCATACTACCAAAAAAAAAGTATTCCAGATTTTGACTCTAGCTTGGATTCTATGCGCTAACCTTGGCTTACGTGAGTAGTAAGCCATTTACCCAGGGAAAGCACAAGAACCAAAACTCCATCCCAAGAGCGCAGTCTGTGGCACTTGCCAGCTAAGTCTGTCAGGAGAGCTGGGAGAAGAGATTCTTGTGGTCTAGTCATGATCCTAAGAGGCAGAGTCTTTGGGAAGTACATGTGCCCAAAATGCCATTTTAAGGTTGACGAATTACCTTTGAATGTTTAAGAATGACCCTTATAATCCAAATCACTTCAGTTGTGCAAACTATGGTTGGGATCTACACTCAGAGCTAAGAGACCAACAGCGTCGCTTTGGCAATTTAAAACAGGGGTGCCGGTCTAAGGAGACCCCAGAGTGAGGGATGTGGAGTGGAAAAGTACACACATAAGCATCTTCTCACAGCTTGTCTACGTTACAGGATTTTTACAAACCAAACATACTGCACTGCTGTAAGAATAAGAGAGAAATACTGAAAAAGACATTGTTAATGTAAACCAAAGATATACCTGAAAGAGTCTCAGAAATAGAAGGTTTAATAGGACTTTGAACTGCAAACGATATCTCAAGTGGTTCTATGTTTTCCTAAGCAAAAGAAAGAAGAGAGCAAAAATTAGATATTCTTAAATTCAGTTAACATACAAATAAAGTGCACAAAAAAATGCGAAAAGATGTATTTTGGAACAGGAATTACAACAAACATAAAGATAAACAATCAACAGAAGATTAAAAAGAAGTCAAAGCAAAATAAAGAATAGATATATTTTATAAAACTGATCAATCATGTTTATAATGAAACCACACTTAACAACTGCAATCAAAATAAAAATAAATTTTCTACTCCAAAGCAAAATAATCATAATGATTTGATCTTTTAATTAGTTATTTCCTGGTTTATTAAAAAACCCATATTGTAACTCCTATAAAAAAAAAACTACAAAGTAAAAATGAAGTTCATTATTAAACATGTGCTTACATGACAATACTATTCAGGGAACTTCATGATAAAAAGACAATATAAATACAGTAACTAATTTTTCCTACACAACTGTCAGGGACATAGCTATTGATCTTTCATAGATGAAACCTGTCAGTTTGAGAAAATTCCCCTTCATCACCAGTTTGTTCAGAATGTTCTTAACCCAGAAACGGATGCTATTTTCTCAAATACTTCTTGCACGTCAATGGAGACAACCATGTTGTTTTCTTGGTCTGTTAGCATGGTGAACCACACTGTTCAGCCAACAGGAGCTGACTCCATCCCTGGCCAAATCTCACATGACCGATACCACCACCTCCTCATATAGTTCTATGTTCATGAGGGCACCAAGGTGCAATTTTCTTATAATCTGATTTTAGTTTCAGGTTAATGGTGATATCCAAGAATTTGGAAATATTTCAGACACCTCAATTTTTGGAAGGGTATGTGTACAATCCTAACCTAAACTTGACTAAATGCTTAGTAGGATTTGTAGTAAAAATCATCTAGAGTTCTCTGTGTGGGCGAGTTTGAATGGCCATTTAAATTTCAGCATAAGGCTACTGAGTTTTAGTAAATTTATGTCTTTCAAGGAGTATGTTTAGTTCATGTAAGTTAAGTTTATTAGCATAAGTTATTTATTTACTTATTCCCACTTAGTATTTGTTAGTTTATATAATTTTTCACCCCATAGATCTTGGTAATTTTTCTCTCTCCTTTCCCAGGCCAGATTATAGTTTTACCAATACTTTTTTTTGTTTGTTTGTTTCTTTTTTTTTTTTTTTGCAGAACTGAGGATTGAACTCAGGCCCTTGCGCCAGGGAAGTGCTTATTCCACTGAGCCATCTCCCTGGCCCCTTACCAATACTTTTTAAAGCACAATTTTTTCCACCTCAGAAAATACAGGAATTTCTATAGTACTCCAATCGAAAGACGACTCCTTCTTTATATTTTCATGTCTCTAAAATCCAGGTATATCTTACAATTCGTGTGTTTAATTTCCTTAACGATATATAAAACAGTATGTCTTACATGTAAGGAACAGTGTTTGGATTTAGGTTTCATGAAAAATGCTACATACAAGGAGTCCTGGAAATACTGCTTGAAATAGACAAGAGTGGTTAAAACCTACACAGAAAGCAGATTTACTTAAAACATGGCATTGCGTGTGGTCCAGCTGACACTTCCAAAGCATCACCACATCAAGCTTGACGAAATACAAGCCAGCTTGTGCCAGGCTTCCCCACTTACAAGATTCTCCCCTTTGTCATCAAAATCTGGTTGTGGCAAGGGCTCAGGAACTGGTGACTGGTCAGGAAGTTGGGGACTGCGTCTATGTAAGTCCTGCAGACGGGCAGGTGTCCCCCCTTTACGCAGTGGGGTGTTAGCTGGCAAAGACTCATCAAACACTTCTGGGCTCAGCTCCTCTCCAAAGGTGACTCTCTTCCGCTTCTTCGTATTCGGAAAAGCAGGCACTTCACAATTGTCTTCATCTTCTACAGAGAATGAACAGGATTTTTTTTTTTTCTAGCTAAAAGATGACATAGAATTTGAAGTACAATTTGGCGTGAATATTTGAAACCTGGACAGTTCCATAATTAAGTAAATATGGATAAGGGAAACAAATCAAACCTTCTTTGGATCTTGGTGCTGGGAATGGAACCCAGGGGCTCCCACATGCTAGGCAAGCAACTGCGGAGTCAGTCCCACCTCACGGCAGTGGTGCCCACGGCAAGCGCGCTGCGCACAGCGGGTACACAGAGCCCTCTTGGGACTCGTGCCAGGCCACCCCCCAGCCACCCACTGGGTATTTAGGGTTAATTGCAGTGCTGGCACTTCTGTGATAAATCAGCGGGTTTGGGCTGCACTTTGCACACTCAGCGCCTAAAAGGTTCACCATCACTGCCCAGGTCAATTCTGGGGTTCTCCAAGGAGACACCCCCTCAGCCGCTCTTCATGCCCATGCACTCCCAAGATCAAGCACCCGCACACCGCTGAAACCTGATGCGCCAGACTTCACTAACAAGAACATGCCATCCTCAGGCTTCAAGGTAAACAGAGACTCCTTACTTGCTTTGTGCTCTTTGCAACAGTTCAGAGGGTGCGAGGCCAAGCGTGGACGCGTCCCGTTAGCACACAGGTCGTCTTTGTGCTCCTGAACAAAACAGGCGTCAGCAAAGAACTTTATGTGCTACACACAGTCCCAAGAATGGCAATTCTGAAGTGTCTCAGCAAGGGGCAGATACTGCGGTACTATATTTGGGTTATCTTCATTATTTTTTTTTTTTACCATTCTTTTTTTCCCCATAATTTTATTGAGAAATAAATGAGACAGTTCCAAATCAAATTGGTAGGACAGTTCCAATAATTAACACACTGCATACTGCCTTCCTAGTGGGTTATCTTTATTTTCAGAATTGTTCTGGCTTAAAACACCATATTAGGCACAAATGAAAACTAAGTTGTCTACTATTTTACTAAGTAGTTTTTAGGCCAACACTGAATAAAATCCATAAATGTGCATTAAATTCACGGTCTTTGATCTAGCGCGTGAAGAAAAATGCCAGTGCATAGAGTTACACTGTACTATAACTGGTGTCAGATGAGGTAGACAATTATAAGGATCTAAAGAACAAAAATTAAACTAAAGTGAGAAAAGAAACCGAATAGATAAAAGATGTAATAGGACGCTTTGATAAGTGTTTAATTTTCCTGCCTGCATTATCACATTCTTGAGGAAGAAATGGTTAAAAAGTTAGCTTGTGTCCCTGTATTTATCTAAATTAAGATTATATGGGCAAGTCAGAAGGGAAAGGAAATTGCAACCCTTGAAGAGAAAGACAGGGCTCGGGCCTGCCAAATAGCTCAGCGGATTAAAGCGCCTGTAAGCAGGCACAGGGGCCAGGAGTTCAAACCCCAGGGCCTGACATGCTGGTCCTGCCCCTGGGGCCCGTTGATACTGCAGTTGAGACTTGGTGTGGTGGCATGTACCTGTAATCCCAGCTCTTAGGAGGCTATAAACAGGCATTTCACTACGAGCCCGGTCTAGTAGTGAGACCCTGAACACTCTGTAAACCCTTCCTTAAAATACAGGGGGAAAAAAAAATTATATATATATATATATATATATATATATATAGAGAGAGAGAGAGAGAGAGAGAGAGAGAGAGAGAGAGAGAGAAAATGACAGGGCTTGAGCAGAGCCCCTCCCAAGCATCACCTACTAGTGTGGTTCCAGCTGAAAGTCCCGCCCAGCCCTCATTCTCAGGGACAACTCTGTTCCTGCACCACCCCCACCCCAGCATCTGCTGCTGCACTAAGAACATCTGCTCCAAACCATCTTTCATTTGCTGTCTTTCCCAAGTCAGTTCTTCCTTCTTACCTAGAAAGCACAGGTACCACATGTACTGGGAAATATTTCTGTGACAGTCCATGGTTGCTTTTACATATATTTTTAATTAAAATCACCACAAAAGTTAGCAAAAAATTTGAATTGGTCAGCCAACCAACTTGGGCCAGCTTAGAAAAGAGGGTGGGGGAGAGGGAGGGTGGGAAGGAGGGAGAGAGAGAGAAAGAGAGAGAATAAATCACCAGTTTTAAACTAAATCCTTTGGGGCTGGGGAGATAGCTCAGTGGAATAAGTGCTTCCCTGGCAAGCACAAGGGTCTGAGTTCAATCCCAGTTCTGCCAATAAATAAATAAATAATAAATAAATAAACTAAATCCTTTGATTCCAGCATTTGGTGTTGAAGTTTGTTGTGTTATACTGCTATTATTGGGCTGGAGAGATAGCTCAGTGGAATAAGCACTTGGTCTAGCAAGCGCAAGGACCTGAGTTCAATCCCCAGTTCCACAAAAATAAATAAATAAATAAATACTGCTATTATTTGTAAAAAAAAAAAAAAAGGTAATACCAATAAGAGCTTAAAATACGAAAAAGAACTGCTATTAGAAATTTCAATGACTTCTCAGCTAAAACAGGTACTGAAACATTTAAAATAGCAACTGAGCATCACTTATCCAGGGGGTAGAAGGTACCCCACTTCACCGTGACTGAGAGATACAAGATCTGCACTTCTGATGTGCCACACACTGGTGCTAACGTCATGCTATTATCCTATTCAATGTCCAAACTGTTCTATAAGACACTTATTAATCGTATCCTTTTGCACAGAGGGAAACCAGGACACAAAAAGGTCCATGTGCACAGCTATGACATTCCCAGGTCAAGACTAGAGCTCGGGCCCTCTGGTCCAGCCTCTCCACTACAGCCTGCAGGAACTCAGTGGCAGGACTGAACAGCCTACTTGGTGCAGCGTACAGACGCCGCCTAAGCGCAAGGCACGCAGGCCAGCACTTCTCTAGGAGGACTGCTGCTGTGCATATGCCAGAAGGACCGGTGGAAACCACCCAACAAGGCCACCAATTTTCTATTGGCTTCCTCTACTGGGAGAAAAAAGCTTGGCTGTAAGTAGTAGTAAGACCCAATATTTTGGATGGACCCATAGGTAATAGGCTGACACATTATTGAATAACCATATAGTCACATTAAATTACTGAACTATAATTCTGTCAGTGTAAGGGATCACTGTAATTAAGATGATAAGCCTCTTTAAGCTACTTACATTAAATTTTGCATACTATGTAGCATAATTAAAAAAAGAAAATGTAAATTTCACACAGTGCCATCACAAAAATAGAGGGAAAAATTGAGAGTAAGAGATTTCTCTTTACACCAGATGACATGCTACTTCAGAGGTACTGCTTTGAAGCAAAATGAAGTTTTATTCATTTATTTTAGGTAACGTGACTCTTTTTCTCACCTCTAAGCTCTCTAGAGACAGCTTCGTACAAGGTTTCTTCAATACAGAACGGAGGACAATGGTCTCGGTAGATGGAACCTCCCCCCTGCACACAGGGGCAGCGGGGACTGTGGCCAGTGTCACCAGTGTGTCCAGTGGAACAGCATCACTGCGTCCTGTGCCCTCCATCCAATCGGCCACCTCAGGTCCTTCAAGATGAACATCGGAACGTGAGGCTGAGGACATCCAAATGCATTTGTTCTGTACCAAAACTACCGGCTGCATTTGCAAAGACAATAGCACCCTCCGAAGAAACTGAACCCTAATACACGCTGCCCAGAGGAACTGCTGGGATCTCGCTCGGAATACAAAAAGGAGAAGTGCAGTTTCAAATCTGCCTACTTAGAGTAAATGTAAGGAAGAAATTTTGACTCTCAGGAATTTTGGCCAAAGGCTGGAAGGAGGAGTGAATGAGCAACACGGCTGGCGTGACTACCTTCAGGATACCTACTAGCTCACTGCAAAAGCAAACTAAGCCCAAAGTAATGGCGAGCAGCTTTGCCCCTGAGGTTCGACACGCACAGGTGCTGTAGCGAGAGGACAGAAAGGGAAAGATGGTCAAACCAAGCCACAGCTGTCATCAGCAAGCGTGCAGGCCCAGTTGAGCTGTTAACTCTACCTGTGTGAACTCTCACTCGAAGAGTCCAGTGATATACTTACACGAAAAACTCAAGGTTTCTACAAAATAGTCATAAATATTTGTATTTTCCAAAGCAGCAGGGGAAGGAGTGTGGGAAACACCATGGGAAAGAGGAGGTGTGAGAGTGGGACGTGCTATAGGAACGGCGGGGCCTGAAGCAGCCCGAGCTGAGCCGCGTGAGGGAGGCGGGTCGGGACCGCAGTCTTCATTCCCAGCAGCCCTGCAGCACCACGTACACGGGGGCTGGACAGGAAGTGGGGCACGGGGGGGGGGGACCCCAGCAGCCTCCCTCCCTAAGTTCCTCTAACAAAGGACATTGTGTCCTGCTGCGAAGATCTTCCTAGCCTTCCTCAAGCTTGGAAGCTTCACCTGAGACGTCTGCACAGCACTGCACGGGGCAGCCGCCACAGGCAACCAAGGAAAAATACGAACTTACCAGCGGAGGCCTCTGCCAGGGCCGGGCAGGGAACACAGTCGTCACCCACGCATCCAGACTTGGTTAAGCTGTGTTCAGGTGATTTCTTGGAGGCCAAAACCTAAAGGGCCATTGCATTTTATTATTTATAGTATTATCAATACCTTCATGCAGATTTGGACGAAGTTTATGGACTAACTGGAAATCAGTGTTCAGTCACCTTCATAATCCAGCAACCTGAGAAATCTAAGAATGAAGTTTTCATCCCGACTGTATCCTAAATGTCCCACAAAACAATTTTCAATCCCTCAGGAAAAGTGTAAGGGACACATCTTTGTTGCCTACTGAAGCCTAGAAAGATGTGTCATCCGCTATCCTCTGAAGGCGAAACTCACTGAAGCACTATATGATGGTTAATCAAACACCAAAATATATCAATAGCTAGGACAGAAAAGACACTTAGAACAGAACACATTCACATTAATTCCCAAACCATCTCTACATCCTGGCATACGTCCTGTGAATCACAGACCTGACGAGAAACAATGACTGTTGCTCTTGTCCGATGAGGACCTCGAGCTAACTTGACAAAGCAGAGGGAGCAGTCACAGGCAGCTCTCGGATACAGCAAACCCGACCACGGACTCTAGTACTGTCACACGTGTCCTGTGCCACTCATAGCCTGGATCTGTGTGGAGAACAAAGCGCTTGCCACCACAGCACCGGCTGCCTCATCTCACTGAGGAGGCACGTTCAGCGTCAAACCAGAGCTCTACACGCAGCAAGGGCAGTCGGTGAAGTTCAGGCTCACTACTACCTTTCAAGAATCTTGACTGGAAGCCACAAAGCCTCCTAATGCTACTTCAAGAAAGTCAGCCAGGAGAAATGCTGAGAAACATGCCCAGTAGGGGAGGCAAGCAGAGGTGTGAGACTCACTAACGGCAAAGCCCTTGCCTCAGATCACATCCATCCTGTTACAACTAGCTCACTGTAAACAGCGTTGGGCTGGTTTTTAATCATCTATTCGCATGCCTGGCTTCACCACCAGACAGAAAGGGACCCCAGGCAGGAATGAGAAAATTCACGGAGGACCCATCATCAACCACCAAGACCAGTGCCTCACGTGGAAGACTCCAGAGCTTAACCTCTCCAGGAAGCCCCCTTTATAAGACCGGTAGCACAAAGCACAAAGCACACAGCACACACACACACACACACACACACACAGCACACACACACACACACACACACACACACACACACAGTATCACACGAAAAGTCCAACAATATACAGACTGAGAGAAGCCTCGAGAGCCTTCAGCTCCGTCTCTCAGCGTGTGAAGCAAACAGTCACCTCAGCAAGAGCCACGGAAGGGCCAGCAGCATGTGCTCTGTCCACATCAGCCCTGGGCATCCGAGACCCTGTGTGCCCCGCAAGGCTGAGCCCATCCTCAGAGCCGCCTTCTGCAGTGATCTTCCGGCGCTTGGAGGATAACTCTCCAGGAAATCCAGGCTTCCAGGAGCCACCTCGATCTTCCTTCTTAGCTGTACGTGCAAAACAAAATGACATAAGAATAAATATTTTCTTTAACACAGTTTCACCTTAAAAGGAAGTACATTTAGAAAATTTAGTGTAAATTACTTATGAAAAGCAAAATCTGTTATCCTTTTCTACTTAAAAAAAGAAAACTAATGGAAAGGCAAGAGAAATGACTAATAAATATAAAAATAAGTTTAATTGTTAAAATTAAGGGTTTTTTGGTCTTAAGTTACTAAAATATGTTTGTATTTTTGCTGTGTATCTTAATCCTTTTAAATTTACCATTAGCCTTTTTATTTTGAATATTTTACGGAATGTGGTTGCATTGTAACACTAATCTACTTTAGTTCACTAGACATTGTGAAAGAGACAGAAATTTATAATATTCATAATGCTATAAATAATAAAATGCAATGGCCCTTTAGATGTTTGCCTCCACAAGGTGAGGCTTTCCCTCAAGGGAAAAAAACAACTGAGATCAAGGAAAGGACAAAAGGAAGAGAAAAATATATACACAACACACACACACACACAAAATGAAAATGGCTGGCATAATTGTACTACTAGTTTCTATTAGTTTATTGAAAGGAATAGTTAGTGTTTATACTGTTTGATGAGTTGTATATGCCTGTATCTGAGCAACTACTTTGAAGATAACAATGTACAATGTAATAAAATTGTTTTAAAATTCTGTATCATTTTTATTGACTTATTAATTCTCTTTAAAATAAAAAATTACTAGTTTACTTTCGCTGTGAATGATTTTTGTGAAACAGCACATTGTGCCTCAGTCCTTGCCAGCTACAAAGTGAAACTGACTGTGTGACAAGGTATAATAAATGATATAAATGAAACTACTTTTAAAACCCAGGTCTAAAAGGGCCAGCAAGATAGCTCAGCAGGCTAAGCGCCTGCCTGGCAAGCACAGGGACCAGAGTTCAATCCCTGGCACCACAGGCTGCGCCAGCCCCGACCCCGGGCATGCCGAGTCGGCCACCGAGTTTGGGCCTGGTGGCGCACACTTATAATCCCAGTGCTGGGGAGGCTGAAAACAGGAGGATCACTATGAGTGCAAGACGCATAATGAGAACCTGTACCAATTTTTAAAAAAGAGGTAAAAATTTAAATAATAAGTTATACATTGCAAATCCAATTAGGCTATCTAAATGGATCCTGCAGTGTGGAGGTGGATGAATCAGCTGCCTCAGATTAACAGCACACTACAAGCAGCAAACTTCAAAATGAACTTGAAGAGGGGTTAAGGAGTCAAAATAGAATCGTTGGGAACACGAAGGAGTATGAAGTACTAGAGGAAGGATCATCACTGATTGCAGCAGCGCCAGGATTGTGCTGAGTTTAGGTGTTGAAAGTGCTTTATAGCTGAAAAAAGATCACAACTGACTAATAAAATATAATGAGTTACAGTGAATACAATAGACTATTAAGATACTAAGTTGGATACATTTGTGGTCAACATCAGTGCTGGGTATTTGGTATTTATATAAATAACAGATTCAACAATTGAGTAAAAAGCAACTCAAATTTGCCATGTCTCCTCTCTGTCTGTCTGTCTGTCTCTCTTTTTGTAGTACAGGGGACTGAACTTGGGACCTCACGCTTGCCAGGAAGGCGCTTCTGCCACTGAACTATCCTCCTGGGCCTTGCCATGTCTCTTGGCTAAAGCTGAAATGTTCTAATTAGCTCTGATGTTTTAAAACTTAAAACTTAATTGTAACCATGTGGAATGGAAGGCCTAGGAATGTCGAATAGGTTTTGTGAGAAGAATCCAGATTTTTGTGCAACCCCCCTAAACATTAGTCTCTATTTAAAGAGACAACTATGGTCTAAAAAGACTGCATTTGTACCATGGAGGTAAATCTTTTTTATATCTTAGAAGCTTGTATTTCTGAATAGAGTCAAAACTGAGCAAATTTTTTCTACTCACCGAAGCCTGTTACTTCAGGCCCTTCCTCTGCCTCTGAGGTTTCTGCACAGGGAGCCATTTTCTCATTTTCCTTGATGGAGTGAAAAGCTGACTGGAAAGCAGATATTCGCTCTCTTAATGAATTAACATTTCGATACACTCCAGGGCTGCCCTGTTAAAAGTACAAAACAGAGGACGCCATAAATCAAACAGCTTCTGTATTCTAGCTCTGTAATTGCTGAATCCTTCGCTGAATGCAGAGCAGCTCTCTGAAGACCACAGGTAATACGTTGGGTTAGCAGAGTCCCTTTTCCCTGGACGTACACATTTTCTGAGTATTTAGTGCTCTAGAGTCTCACCTCTGTTCCTCCCTCAAAATTTTTAGCAAAACCTGAGCGAAGAGGAAGAGCTGAGTGTAGCAGATGTTGAGCTATATGTGGCTAACTGAAGTTTACAAGCCCATAGTCATGCTAAGAGAACCCTGGGATAGGTAGGAGATGCTTTAAAAAAAAGTCACCCACAACAATAACAACAGTTATTTGGCATAAAGAACTCTGGTTTCCAATGGGCTTAAAAGGCTTTCTTTCTTTCACACCTCAGGGTCCACTACCTGAGGCAGCCTTAGCAAATCACATTTGAAGAGAACAAGTTCGACACAAGAAAGTCTGTGAGAAGCCAGCCTGTAAGATTATACACAGGGCATAAAGAATCTACAGAACTCCAATGACTGGGCAGGGAGAAAGAGCACGAGGAGCCTGCTTATTTGGCAATTTCATCAAAGGCTGTGCTGAAAGCACTGCTGGGAGTCATCGGCACGGCACCTTTGTCACCCTAGGTCTCAGTGTACCTGCTTCAGGCCAACCCCATCTCTTCACTCAGCCTCAGCCCACACTTGCTCTCCTCCATCCAAGTGGCCAAAATAAGAAACAGAAGTTCTACACTAGCTTCTCACATTACTCCCAGCCCTTCCCATCTAATTCTTCCTGATTTTATGGCACCAGAAGACACTTACTTCCTCAGGGTTGACAGCGAGTCGTTCACTTAAAATAAAGTTAGATGGGCTATGCATAGGAACTTTCTAGAAGCTCTATGAACAGGTCTCAGGCAAAGACTAATGAAATTTATAACAGCAAAGATAGATGTGTCTGATAAACACAAATAATATAATACTTAACAGTCCTGTTCATATAAAAATAATCAATTACTAACCAAGTTATCTAGGTTTCATTACTTGGACTAGTAACATATTTCTACTAATAGTGACCTTGTGGCAATTTTAAAATTCACACTTGTGGACAAATGTAAAGTAAAAAAATTACCTTCTTTTAAGATAACAGATGGAGAAAATGCAGTTAAAAACATGAAGTCATGTTTGATGACCTGTCCATGTATGTGACTGAAGTCCCAGTTAAATCCACTGAGTACAACAAAGCCTCTATGACATAATTACAGAGCATTTTCAACTTGATACACCTGCTGATGTAACCCTTTATGACACACCTGGAAGGCTGTGGGTAACACGCAAACAGCAGTGGAAGGGTCCGCGGAGGCACACACACTACCTTGAGGGCACTCCTGGGCACAGAAGTTATTTTGGAAGTTCTGAGGAAGGGAAATCGGTGAAGGAGGGCTCTTCTATTTGGCGTACTCATAATTGAACATGTTCAGGCTTCGTTTGTATCCTAGGAACTGGCCACACTTTGAAATGTATGTTTTAAAATTGTAAGTTTCCCTAGGCAGAACTGCTTTCCTCATTTCATGCTAGTGGATGCGAATGACACTCACACATTCACCTACAGGGAAATGTACAGCCCTGTACATTTAAAACGTACAGCCTTTCTGGTGCTTTTGTCTCATGAACTGTGTGCCCTTCTGCATCCAAGAAATGTTGGGGATATGGAACCAGGGCAGATTATACTTCAGAGCAATGTTCTGGGCCGTACTAAGGTCGCTGCAGGTAGCAAGAGGCTATGGGACAGAACAGACAAGGTGGCATGTAAGGCCCAGGGCTCGGTTCAGGTGAGCCCAGGGCTGGCAGCTCAGGGAGGGGAGAGGCTGCTACAGAGAGCTGCAAGGGGAAGCGCCATGGTGACAGATGGGGCTGCCACTGAGGCTTCAAAGAGGACACTGGCAAATCACCCCTCAGTGGATGGCTAAGATAGAGAGGTTTGTAAATGGCTAGAAACCAAAGGATCACAAAACCAAAATTCTGAGTTTGTCGAGATGATGGATGGATCACCCATGGTGTTGCTGAAACCTTCCAGAAAAATGAAGAGGAAAGGAGGAAGATGGGGGCCACCTGCTCCAACTTCCCCTTTAAAGCATTTCCTTGCTGCAATGGGAAAAATTAGAGAAATAAATGAAGGATTGATTCTTTAAGCACAAGGGTCTCTGGAACTTCAAAAGAAACCAAAATGTTCTATGGGGTGCTTACAGAACATCTTAGTGAGTTACAATACCTAACTATGCAAAATTACTTTATTCATGGGCATGCAACAAATGCATTGCCCAAGAACAAAGGCACTGCCCAAGAACAGAGCATAAAAAGTAGTGACAAAGTATTCCGGGGGCAGCGCCTAACCGCGGAGGCAGGGACCAAGACTGAGAGGTTGCTGGGTGGGCGCTATGGCCGGGATCACCACCACCGAGGCGGTGAAGCGCAAGATCCAGGTTCTTCAGCAGGAGGCCGATGATGCAGAGAAGAGGGCCGAACGCCTCCAGCGGGAATTGGAGGGAAAAAGGCGGGCTCGGGAACAGGCTGAAGCAGAGGTAGCCTCCTTGAACCATAGGATCCAGTTGGTTGAAGAGGAGCTGGACCGTGCACAGGAGCGACTGGCTACTGCCCTGTGAAAGCTAGAGGAAGCTGAGAAAGCTGCTGATGAGAGTGAGAGAGGTATGAAGGTCATTGAAAACCGGGCCCTAAAAGATGAAGAAAAGATGGAGCTCCAGGAAATCCAGCTGAAAGAAGCTAAATACATTGCCAAAGAGGCAGACAGGAAGTATGAAGAGGTGGCTCGTAAGTTGGTGATTATTGAAGGAGATTTGGAACGCACAGAGGAATGAGCTGAGCTGGCAGAGTCCCGTTGCTGGGAGATGGATGAGCAGATCAGACTGATGGACCAGAACCTGAAGTGTCTGAGTGCTGCTGAAGAAAAGTACTCGCAAAAAGAAGACAAATACGAGGAAGAAATATTCTTATTGATAAACTCAAGGAGGCGGAGACCCGCGCTGAGTTTGCTGAGAGATCAGTAGCCAAACTGGAAAAGACAATTGATGACTTGGAAGATAAGCTGAAATGCACCAAAGAGGAGCGCCTCTGTACACAAAGGATGCTGGACCAGACGCTGCTTGACCTGAATGAGATGCAGAGCTTCCCCAGCCTGCCCTGCCTGTGACTCCAACACACTGCCTGAGGCCAGCCTGCCCGGAGCTGACCTCGAGACTGAGGGCTGATCTTTAACTGGAAGGCTGCTTTCTCCTTTCTGTATCCTCTCCCCACTCCCTACCCCCACCTCCTTGTCTTTTTCATCAAACTGTCTCTGCCTCTTCCCAGAGATTCCAGCTGGGCTAGAGGCTGAGCACCTTTAGGAACAACATTTAAGGGAATGTGAGCACAATGCAAAGTGTCTTTAAAAGCATGTTCTGATGTACACATTTGTAATAACTTTTAGTTGTAACAAACCATTTGTAAAATGTTCCAAATAATTGCACAGCACTGAAGCCGCCATCTAATTCCATTCTCACTTTGGAAGGTAGCTTTTCAGCCTAATGCATAGTGCTCTCTCCATAGAGGAAGAAAAGAAGTATGGGCATGCCTTACCAAGAGCCAGAGTCCAGGCAGAGACTCCACCGGGAAGACCTTACAGCTCTGTACCGAGTACCAGCTAAGCCAGAAAGGAGATTCCGGGAGGAGTTAGCCAAAAACCCAAACTATGCTGCTCAGGTTTTGAGTTTCGACGTGTCTTTGGACAACTTTATTTTTATTTGTTACTTTTCTCATCAGAAGTGAGCAAGATATGATACTGGTTAGACCTCTGAGATGGAGGCTTTTTTTGTTTTTGTGGGTTTTTTTTTCTTTTTTTTGGTGATGCTGGGATTGAACCCATGGAGGGACTCATGCATATTAGTCAAGAGCTCTACCACTGAGCCATATCCCCAGCCATGAGACCAAATTTTTGTCCTATTTCTACCCCTTTTCCAGCTGCTCACTGAACAGATCATGTGTCCCTTCCTTACTGTTGAGGTGACCACTTGCTTTCCTGCCTCTTTGAAAGAAAAATAATGTTTTTGCCACTTACTCAGCCATATGAAGCTCATCTCACCCTTTTTCCGGGTCTGAAGCTGCTGTCTCTAAAAGTGCCATCTCATTGTGCTTTGTATCAGTCAGTGCTGGAGAAATCTTGAGTAGCTTATGTACAAACCTTTTAAAATTTTGTATTATTTTGAAATTTTGCTTCTTTAGGGTTGGAGCGCATGGCTGCCCCATCTGGCTGTGAAGAGTTCTCTCCAGTCTGTGGGCTGGCAGTGTGCTGATCTTTTGAAGTCTTTTCCCCACCCAGTCCCCACTTGAGGTGAGGTTTCTGTGAGATCTGTTAGGTGTACATCCTGCAGCTTATTGGCTTAAAATGTATGCTCCTTTGTTGTGGTCTGTGGGACCAGTCAGGAAAAAGAAGACCCAGTAGTGCAACTGTTTTGATACTGAGTATTGACAAGTGTCTTTTTGAAATAAAGAACCAGTCCCACTAAACCTCAAAAACACACACACACACACACACACACACACACACACAGATATTTATACAGAGGCACAGGTCAGAAGGTCAATTAATAAGATGGACTTATTCTGAAAATTACTCAAATTAAAAATGTATTTCTAGCTGGGCACAGTGGCACATGCTTGTAATCCCAGCACTCGGGAGGCTGAGGCAAGAGGATCATTGTAGGTTTAAGTCCAGCCTGGGCTATAAAGTGAGCTCAAAGACAGCCTGAACTAGATAGTGAAACCCTATCTCAAAAAGCCACACACAAAAAAATTCCTTTCATACTAAAAATAGGATATTTCAAATGTAAGAAATATGAAGCATAATTTAGAAAATCATCATAAAGTTACTGGGGCTGGGGATTTGGCTCAGCAGTAGAATGCTTGCCTTGTAAGCTGGAAGCCCTGGGTTCAGTGCTCAGCACCAAAAACAAATAAAATCAAAAAAGACCAAAAACAAACAAGGTAATTACCTCATAAAATTATTAAAATTTAAAAAACTATAGTTCTGAAAAATCATGCTCACTTACCCCAAAAATGCATTTATCAAAACAGACCTTGGCCTGAGAGCGGCACAGTATATGCTTAGCCTGTGGGAAACTCTGGCTTCAATCTCCCCAGTACCAAAAAAATAACAGCAAAAACAAAATAAAAACACCCCAAACAAACCCAACCCCATATACCAAATCATACATTCCATTAAGCTTTTTAATAAGCACAGTCCTATCCCAGTGGCTTCCCCTGGGGGGAGAGGTGATTGCACAGATTAGTACCAGAAGCCCTACATCTGTAAGAAAAAACAAAAGAGCAACTGCAGACAGACTCTGACCCAGACCAGACAAAGCAAGAAACCGAGAGCTGCTGCAGGCCCCGGAGCATTGGGTGTTTCTCCAACAATGGCCCAATGCAGTCTAGAACAGGAGGAAAGTTCAAACTGTGGCAGAAGCCATCTAAACCCACAGATCTGTCCACAAACAAGAGATGGCCACGACACTGAGCTGCAGGACTCTAGGGCTCCCCAGAGCAGCTGGAGGACAGAGCCAAGGCAGGAGTGAAACAGTCCGGGCCTTCCTGGTCAGCAGCAGCATCCCCAGGCAGGCGTCCACACTCAGTGATCACAGCCCCACGACTCAGGTTTGTATCACTAGGAGTTCTTCCAGGAAAGTGATCAGCCACGGAATGATCCACAGACTCTGCCTGACACTGGGGGTCTCTCCCAGGGAAAAAGTGGCCCTGCTGCCCTCCTCTGAGCTCTACCAGTCAGCAAGTCCTGTCTGTGCACACTGAGTTTCCAGGCAGTGTCCCAGGGCCTTGTTCTTAAGTCCAGCCAAGGACTGCGAGACACTTCCACAAAGCCCTGAGTGTGCCATGTGGCCTGAGGTCAAAGGCACCTAGAGCAGAAGAGATCCTGCGAAATGAGCATGAAAACCCCAAAACCATCCACAGCAAAAAAACATTCCAACATCAGCCAGCAGACGCCATGAAGAATCCACATCAAAATACCTGATGAATGCACTGATACCAGATGCCTCAGTAGTCTCAGTTTAAGTATAAGGGAGCAACATCTTCTAAATCTTGGAAAATATTTCAGCCCAGGTTTCTATATCAAGTAATAACTAAAATGTGCTGGTGGGATAAATTTCATCAAAAATGCAGAGATTGGGCTGGGGAGATAGGTTGGCAGTCTAAGTGCCTGCCTGGCAAGCACGAAGACCCAGGTTAGATTCCCCATACCACATACCGTGCCAGCCCATGCTGAGCTGGCTACTGAAGTTGAGCGTGGTGGCACACACCTGTAATCCCAGCGTGAGGGAGACTGAGACAGGAGGATCACCAGGAGGAAGAGGTGCATAGAGACCCTGCACTGAATGAATGAATGAATGAATGGACTCCAAAAAGCCTGAAGCAGTAAATTATGAAAGAGAAAGAAAGGGGATCAAGGGTGGAGATCCAAATGGGAGAGGAAAGGGAAATTACCGAAGATGAGGAGGGAAGTCACCGAACAACACCTGTCCAGCAAGCCTGGTTGGCAACTAAACTAGAGCCGTGGAAAGAGACAAGATTTCTCTTAATGAATAGAATGATTTGTTCTAATGGTGTTTGTAAATAGGATCACAAGTCCGCATCTTGTACAGCAATTAACCACTAAGAAGAATATATGCAGTGTATTATTTGTTGAAACTGTCCTTCCGATTTGATTTGAAACTGTCTCATTGCTATCTGTTTGTCAATAAAACTTTGAAAAAAAAAAAAAAAGAAAGAAAGAAAGAAAGAGACAAGATTCAGGCAGGGAGGGGACACAAGCACTAAAAACCTGGTAGTCTCTCTTTGTTAGAGTTAAGTCTTGACATACAGCACTTAGGCTGCTCTGGGGCTTGAGACTCCTACATCAGCTTCCTGGGTGCTGAATTACAGATGTGAGCCATTATGCCCAGCAAGAATGGACACTATTAAAGCTGACTGCTCTATCAAATATGGAGATGAGATTTATGACAAAGATTAAGCTAACAGACACAGGGGCCCGGGGTTCGAATCCAGGTGTGCTGTGCCAGCCCCACCCCTGGGGTGCACTGAGAGGGCAATTAAGACTGGCCGTGGCGGCACATGCCTATAATCCCAACTCTTTGGGAGGCTGAACACAGGCAGATCACTAGAGTCTGATCTACACAGTGAGACCCTGTAGACCCTTACTGAAAATATCAAAATAAATAAATAAAAGATGCTTTCTCTTTTTAAAAAGAAAAGATTAAGCTCAAATAGAAAAAGAGGTACTTCGGTTGTGCTAGAAAGCAAAGATAGCTATAGCATACTACATACAAGTTTAAAAACATCCATGTGGTCATATGATATATTCTGACCAGCAATTCAAACACAACCATAACTGACTGTATTGAAAGGAGGGAAAGCACTGGAACGGGTGTGGGCGGCACTAGAGGGAGAGCCAACACGGCACTTTTCATAGAATAGCTGGTCTCGGGCATACTACACATGTTCCAAGGACCACTACAAGCACATCCTATTATTCACCCTTTTCCCATTCCTATTTTACATTAGGAAACAAAGACAGAGCACTTAAGCAACCTGCCAAAAGTGCCACCTAATTAATGCCAAAGTCAAGAAGCAAGTCTAAGCAACACAGCACCAGAGTTTACACTGCTATTTGCTACAATGGCAGATCTCACCAAGTTTTACTACGTCTCACAAACTGAGGACTCCAAAGAATTATATCAATACTGCCTACACCCAGCAGAACTATTCCTGTAGCCTTTGTGGAATTTTAGATATTCTTAAATTATAGAGCAAAGTTCAAAAAAAGATTTCTTAAAGGTTAGCTGTAGCACCACATATGAAATCCTATCAAGGCTTCCCACATTTGGGTCAAAATCCATCAATCTACCTTGCAACCACAGATTACCTATTACCCAAGCAAGATTTTACAACAGCATGCACTGATCATTTTGTATTTGGTTGTTACTGGGTCTCACTACACAGCTCGGACTCATAGTGATCCTCCTGTTTTCAGCCTCCCCAGTTGTGGAATAATAGGCGTGCACCGCAAAAGAAGCCGGGACTTGCAGGGCAGCTGAGCTGCCCTGGGGGCGGGGCTGGCACGGCATGTGGTGCCCTGGATCAAATCTGGATCAAACCTCCATCCCTGAGCTTACCTAAGCATACCTAAGCCGGCACTTTAGTCTGCTTAGCTCTCCTGCCGGCCCGCGCACTGATCATTTTGAAAAATATTGGTTCACTGTGTTAGCGGATCTTCCAAAGGTCAGCGCATTCAAAATACTACTTTCACGAATCTCCCCACTGACCAGACAGTTGATCGGGAAGCTGTCATGCTCAGTATAGATACATGTTTTCTGAAATTTGAATTTCCTCTTGAAAATGACAGTGTTTGCTGGTACAAACTGTTTGTTTCTGGGGCAGATTCACTGTTCACGCCCGAGAACAGGTCAGCCACACTCCCAAGTCTAATTCACCATGATTTGTCAGCCCATTGCCCTTTCAAGTAAACATAACATTCTACGGGGTGGGCGTGGCTAATTTACCCTACGCTCAATCACCCCCGTGATGATCCTAGAAGCACCGAGGGCATGTACAATGTACGCCAAAGCGCTTCATGCCAGCTTGCCATTTCATCACAGAATACGCAGGGGCTGGGGTTGAGGAAAATCTTTAATTTTTAGTGATTCAAAAATACTTAAGTGAAATAAATGTAGGAACTCACAGAATAAGCTTGATGCCACTGCCCTGGCTCATAATTTATTCAGCATTGGTTTTTGCATCACAAATGCAAAAATGGTGGGGAAAAAAGCAAATAGCATCGTAGAACAACCACAAATACAGTTGTGACATCAGGGACTGCTTAAAAGGGACTAGGGGACCCCCAGATGTCCTTCTTGGTGCCTGACAAACATTCAGAACCATCATCTTACGTTTCGATTATGCCTACAACTGAAAAGTGAAGTGATAATATAAATTATTTTAAAATAGGAAGATTAATACCAAAACTTGTTTTCTGTCCTTTAAGAAGAATAACCTGGACAGGTGTGTCTTTCATAATAAGCCTTATACTATTTTACTTGTCTTATTTTGACAAAATTTTTTTAAAAACCTAATTATATCCACACCAGAGGCCAACTAGCTGCACCTTTTCACAAGGATGTCCCAAACACACCCTGTCCTACGAGACCTTTGCCTCTTTATAAGGCATTTGTGGACATCTTAGACAGCCACAGATATTGTCATAGAAATACAGACAGCCCTAAAAAACAGGAAACCAGCACCTCAGCTCATTTATTTTATTTACTTTTTTGCAGAACCGGGGATTGAACTCAGGCCCTTGCGCTTGCCAGGGAAGCGCTTATTCCACTGAGCCATCTCCCTGGCCCCTTCAGTTCATTTAGAGAAATAGCCATGAACGGGAACGTTTACAACATGAAAGAGAGCGCTCTGGAAATCCCTTTCTAGCCAAGCTGCCACCTCCTCTCAGCCACACGGGACATTAGCGCCTGTGCTGGCTGGGCCTTCTCTGTAAGACACAGAAAAGGCTTGCCTACCAGATCCCAAGCAGCAGGGATGCACCAGTCCCTTTCTGCTTGGAATCTTGGCACAGAAACTTCAGACAGGGCAAAACAGTTCCCCGGAGTTCCTGACTTGGAAAGAAATCATACCTGAAAGGGGGAGCCGTGGGCCAGCGGAGACTTCTCAGCACTCTTTAAAGCCCGCTGCTGGGCCATGAAACGAATCAGGTGGTTGGTTTCAGGAGAGCCCCGTGCGCCCACTGCAGAACGTCGCCTGGCCTTTTTAAGGTAGGACGACTTCCCTGTAATGAAACACGTGTATGAACTGGAATGAAACAAATCAATTACCACTAGCCACATCCAATGTCTGTGAGGAGCCAGCCTGAGAGAAAACTGCCAGACACACAATACACACCACCAAGTAGAGGACTACTGGCAATGTTATTCCTACATGATCAACTGGATAAGGATCTTGGCTTATCTCGATTTAGTCTATGTTCTTAGAACCATGCCTGGCACCACAAAGCATTCATTTAAAAGGCTGTTGAGTGAATACACAAACACAATTTAATTAATGGTCTTCACTTTTCGTTCCGTTTTTCCTGCACACAGAGGTAGGTAATGGCTTACTCTTGACTAATTTCTCTTTTCTGAATTAGTGTCAGCCAACAAGGATGGAAAGAGCTCCATGTAGGCACCTGTACAGCAGTCCTCCCTTATCCATGATATCACTTTCCTTGGTTTCAGTTACCTTCAGTCACCCACATTCTGAAAATATTAAATGCAAAATTTCAGAAATAAACAATTCAAAGGTTTAAACTATGTGCTATTCCAAGTAACATGATAAAATCTTGTGCCATTCAGCTTCACCCCATTCAGGATATGTCCCTTGCCCAATGTATCCACTGTATATGCTACCAACCCATTAGTAACCTGGCAGTACTTAAATCAACATGTTTTACTTAATAATGGACCTAAGCTCATAAGTAGTGATGCTGGCAATTCACATAAGCATCCTTGAAGTGAAAGGTAAATATAAAGCAAGATATGTAGAAAGGCATGAGCCATGAAATGAATCAGGCAGTTTGTTCGCATTCACATAACTTTTATTATAGTATGTTGTTGTAATTATTCTCATCTATGTTGTTAATCTCTTACTATGCCTAATTTATAAGTTAGATTTTGTCACTGATATGTAAGGCTAGGAAAAAACAAAAGTCTATGTAGAACTAAGTAGTATCCTTGGTTCCAGAAATGTACTGGGGGTCTTGGAACCCCAGGGATGGGAGGCAGAGAAGATACTGTACTCTGCTACTCTTAATTCTTAAAGATACTATTTCGTCTGAGATACTACTTGCTTTCGGTATACTACTCTGAATTTTGCCCATATGTCTAATGACAAAATAAATCTAGCTTTTTATAAGTCAAAGGTGATGTTTTAAATGCTGTTCTTTACTCCAAATCCATTCCCACATTTCGTTTTTCATGTACATCAGGTATCACCGGTGAGTTTTCTAACTATTGCTCAGAGTTCTGTTTGTGAACAGGTAGGTTTCTGTTTGTGACTTCTGAAGGAGGCACACCCCAATCTGTCCATGCTATAATCTGTTCTCTAACTTCCTCTTAATGTTATCATACGTAAACACAAAACACAGGGCAATCCACATGGTATAACTTCTCGAATCCTGTGTGTCAGGTCAAAGAGTGATTCACATATGCACTACTTTCCAGGATGGATAGAGAACACGATTTAGCAAGTGTCACCCTGGGTGTCACCGGCCCTACTGTCCTGCTGTGCTTGATACAGGAACTGTGCACAAAGACTTCCTAAGCAAGTTTGCAGTCAGAGGAGCAGAACTTGAGTTATAGCGAAGTTATTTTTAAACCCAAGAAGCAGTGCCATAACAGAAGTGTGCTTCTCTTACCTGAAGAGTTCTTAACAAAACTTTCAGGTGTAATTCCCAATTGCTCCACCGTTACTGTGGAAAAGTTCAAAGGTGACTTAAAAGTCTGTGGTGTGTAAAGAGCAGGAGTCACTTCTGCTGCCTGCTTCTGAGGAGTCACGGGATTCCCGGTTCCCAAAATGACAGAGGCATTTTCTGAAACGGAGGACATGTTGAAGGGGCTAAGCATCATTACCAAGACAAATATATAAACCTCAGATTTCACAAGGAAACAAACCGCCACATACCGACACTATGAAGAGCGGATGCCTCGGTTTCAGGGGGCCCCATGTCTTGTGAACTGGTATCCATCTAAAAGATGCAAAGGAAAACGAAAAACAGCCCTCTCACCAGCACCAATGTGATTGGACACACACACACACACACACACACACACACACACACACTATATCAAAACCGAACACAACCCACGCTGGCCTGGAATACACGTGGACAGGATAATTCGGAGCGCAAAGCAACAGAAAGTTGAAGGAAGCTGCTGCTCAGGCAGAGACAAGGCAGAGCGGGGGAGGGTACGCCGGGGCTGTCCGATCTTCCTGGGCGTCTCTAGCAGCGGGGTACCGCCTCACGGGAGGTGCAGTGCGAGCTTCCAGGCTCGCCTGGCAGGTCCTGAGAGCCCCAGAGATCTGCATTTTAGGCGCCTTTGGCGGCCCGGGGCAGGTCGTGACCCCTCAGAGGGACGCGGAAGGCCGGACCCACGCTTCGGTCCTGGGCGCGAACCCCGCCGCAGCCTACCTCTCACGCCCACCTCGGCCCTCGGCGCCTCGGTCCGCCGTGAAAGCTGCGCACCGACGAAGCCTGGCGTGGCGTCCGAAAGGCTGCCTGGGCGCGCCGCAGAGCGCTGGCCGCCGCCCGCAGCTCCCCGGCCGCCGACTCCACACCGGCCCCGCGCCGATTCAAACCGTGGCCCCGCCCCCGCCTGGGTGGCCGCGAACCGCTCCGCCGCCGCCGCCTCGCACGTGTCAGCGCGCACCCCGAAACTGCCCAGACCTCTTCCTCGCGGAGAGAAATAGCAGCGGCCCCCTGGACTCGGAGCGAAGCCACCGCCAGCTGCAGGTGACCCAGCGCGCGGAGCCAACAGTGCTAACCCCACCACCCGGGAACTACTTTCATTGAGAGTTCCTCGCGTAACCCTACGGTTAGTCCTTTAGTTCCGCCTCCCACCTTCTGATTGGGTACTGCAAACTTCGAAAAGAATCACTGAACCAATCCTGACGGAACGATGGGCTGGCGCTTTTACCCAAACAGCCAATCACAATGGTAGCCGTTTCCTCGGTGGGTTGGTAAGTGGGAGGAGTTAAAGAAGGGGGCAGTGCCGTGCGGCATTTGTGTGGGACTCTTTTAGCTCTCCGCCTCCTCTCTCAAACCCCGCCTCCGTATGCTGATAAGTGTTTCCGAGAATTGAGTGCGCGCCTGCTCAGTAACGTTTCGAGGAGCCGTTTGGCAGTTACTTCTGTTCTGATTGGTTGATTTGCCTTTCCGTCTTACTAGCTTTCAGCCTCTCTTCCCTCCTTCCTCCCGGACTGGGGTTAGTTTGAGCCCACCCAATGCCGTGCTCCGATTGGTTAAATTCTGGACGGTGCCGCCGGTTGATTGGTGAAGAGCAGTGTCGGTCCAGAGAGGTGGGGGAAGGGCCCCGGGCCGGCTGAGGAGCCTAGGGGCGGGGTGGGAGGAGGACCGGCCAACCCCGGGGTGTGGGACTTGAGTACGTGTGTGGTGTGTCCCGTAGAGAAGGAAGGTGGCGAAGGGTGGAGAGCCCGAGTGGGTGGAGGGAGGGGAAGGGCGGGAGGAGAAAAAGGTGGGAGGAGGGCCAGGTGGGAGGGTGGCGGCTCACTCGGGACCCCACGGGGGCAGCGCGATGAGGCGGGTGACCCTGTTCCTGAACGGCAGCCCCAAGAACGGCAAGGTAAGGCCAGGGTCGGGCGGCGGGGTGCGGCGGGGCGCGGCTGCGCTGGGGCCCGGGCGGGCGCGGACGATCCCGGGAAGGGACGCGGTCCCCGCGGCCTCGCGACCCCGGCTCCCAGCCCGGGCCGCCGCGACCCCCGACTCCGCGGGTCCCGAGGGCGTAGTGCGCGTCTGGGGCGCCGGGCTCCCCTTCCCGCCGCCTCTCGCCGGGCCGGGGAAGGCGCCTGTGTCCCCCGTGGTGCTGAGTAATGGTCAGCCCGAGAGAGCGCCGGTGCTGACCAAGGCCAGGTGCCGGAGCGATCGGCCGGGCGAAAGAAGGAAACTCCCGCCCTGGTGCCTAAAGATCACAGATCCGCAGTGGACTCGAAAACGAGGACTGTTTTTGATGGCTTGCCTCCCTCTCTGCAAGATGCCCCGGTCCCCCACGCCCCGCCGCCTTGCAAAACTTCTGTACGCGTTGTCATTGCGCCTTATTCTGGTTCCTTAGAGGACGGTGACACCCAGCCAACCCGGTTGATTTGACAGTGACCCTGGCTGTGGTAGGCCTTGGTTGAGGGTGTGGTGCTGCATACTCGCCCAGCGCTGGAGCCGGCCAAAAGGAATCCTGTTCCTTCTCAGCCTCTTGCCCCACCCATGAAAGTTGTTCAGCTTCTTTGGAAAATTTTGGCTGTTGAAGGCAGACATTTACAGTGCGGCTAAATGATACGCAGGAGTAGCTCAGCCTTCGCAGTCGGAGGTAAAAGTTAAATTGGCCTCACCGTGTTCCTTGCCAGCTTACTTTTTGATTCCTGTACCTTCTGGAAACTTACATTTTTAAATAGCAAAACTACCCAAGGGCGTAGAAAGTGCCTTTCCAAGTGCTGTATACGGTTTGCAATAAACATGCCCTGAATAATCTGAACTACAGTGAGGTTTGTTGACTGTAATTTTGTGTCCTGCTCTTAGACGTTTAATATTCACATAGAAACAGTATTCTGCACAAATTCAGTGTGCTTCATAAAGTTTACCTTCTTCTGATGCTTAGCTTTTTCTAAATCTGTTTTCTAGTTAGCTCGTGTTCATAGCCTAACATTGATGGAAGAAATATTTAGTATGTCCAAAGTTAAAAATGGAGCGTGCCCTCTGAAGCAGCTTTCTAATTGACCTTATCTAATATCTCAAATGTATAGCACTGGGAAAGACAGAATATGCAGGCCCAGTCAGAAATGTTTAACTATGCTCCAGATCGCCAAATCTACATTTTATTTAGCTATCTCTAAATCCGCTAAATTTTATTGTCAAAGATGGGCTGGATTGGTCTTTTCATGTTATTTTCAATATATCTGTTTAGAAAGCTATCTTAAAACTTCATTTACAAGAAAGCCCATTGTTTCCTATGCATCCTTTATTAAGCTCTTTGTACTTTACCTTACTTGCGAGAGATGCTATATGGTATTTAAGTTTGATTCATTTAAGTCTGATTTATTTCACACACCATTATATGTGCCAGATGCATTCATTTTCTTACAAATGTCTACAGTTTGTCCTTCTTTATAGCCAAGTAGTATTTCATTTGTACAGAGAGCACATTTTCTTTAAGGCAGTCTGTTGATGGGCATAAAGATCCAGGGTGAGGGGAGACAGAAGGGGAAGTGAGTAGAATAAAGATATGCCAATCATAGAAACCAGGAACCTAATAACCTCAATGAATGTAAAGAGTATAGTGGTATGTCACAAACATGAGTGAAGAATAATATGGACAAGGATGAAAACAGGGACAGGGATTTAAAGGAGGAGGGAGGGAGGGGCGGGTAAGAAGAGGAGATTGCGGAAAGAAACAAGCAGTATCCTGTACCAGTACCTCCTCCCCAAGATGATGGTGGACTTTGTAGTACTGCAAATGTATATTGATAAAAATAAAAAGCTAGCCTAGTTTTGAGTAGTATGAATACATAGATTGAAATTTGATTTATTTTAAAACTATTTTGCTAGAGAATCTCAGAAGATCAGGAAAATGCATCTCAAATAGTTCTGTTTATGTTACAAAAATTGTAAAATCCTAGCAGGAGATACTAGCTGTCAGTGTTTCTCTTCCTTCAGCTGATCAAAAAACATTACAAGAACTCATAGTTCATAAAAGAGCAAAATTATCCATAACAGCCTCTTATGTATGTATACATGCATATATATATATATATGCATATATAGTGACTATATTTAATCAGGGTTGATTTGATCCTGACACACATACTCATTATGAACATGCAGGATATGAAGTAGTACTCTGAAATAGTTTGATTTCCCATCTATTAGTCTGAATATCACTTTTATTTACTTAGTTTCTATTGTATTTCTTGGATTGGAGGTTAGGAAGAAACATACCTATCATTTCTCTTATTTTACCTAGAAATTTAAAATTGTAAGAGCCCTTAGCTTTTTTAACCTGGGAAACCCCAATTGTGGAATTCTGTGAGAAAGCCTTCTTGTTTTCACTTAGGCACTATATGATGCAAAGCTTACACAATGCTAAGATCTCTATCCTCCAGTTGTAACCTTGACTAAAACGCCACATGGCTTTGAAAGAGTCCTCCAAAGACACAACAGATTGAAGACAATATTAATCATGCAAGCACAAATAAACAGTGAGAAAATACCAGAGCTGCTGCTTTTAGACCGAACTATGAGATTTTTAAAAACTAAAGAATTTCTTTGGATCGTACAAGTCAGAAAGTGCCAAGTTTTAAAGAAGAGTGAAGTTCTAGTAACTGCTTTCTCAATCAAACCTTTCTCTTAGAGTATATTGTTCTTTGAAATATTAGCCAGTGATAGGATGAGGTCACTCTAATTAACAAGGCATTTAAAATCACTTTCTAGCACACAAAGACAAATGACCTCAGAGTTCTTTTAGTTCTTTTGGAATGTTTAATGTTTAAAGTCAGTTTTCTATTTAACAGCATCTCAATGAACTTGATGCAGTATTTCAGGGATTGTTACTGGCCAATTCATAGTAAATGCAAATCTTTGTATCATTTGGGAAAACATGTTCTTTCTGACAAAAGTACATAGTTTGTAAATAAATATGCAAAGGCTTGAGCACACACCCAAAAATGTTTGACCAGTGGGTTCATAGTCAAAATATTTGAAGGCCATCGTTCTAAAACACTGGGGTGCTTATCATGGGATTTTAGTTTTCTTAAAGCAGTATGAGTCAGTCATGGTTGTGCTTTTCCATCCCTTCTCCATAGTCCCACAGTTCCTATTTTCTCTTTCAATACCTTGTAACAGTTGTCCTTTAGCAAGTGGACGTGGAGATTCTGACCTCTAAATGTAGTACATGGCTTCTGAGCAGCCTGATACCAGTGCCAGAAAAGTTCCTGCGCTCGTAATGCCATTTAATTTTTTAACTTCAAAATGCTTAGTAATGAACTGTGCAAATCATAGACCTTTTGTGTACAGTACTCATTGACCTAACCTCTAGCACCTTCTTTGTGTGAGCCACCGTGCCAAACGTTCAGACACTGTGGACTAGGAAACAGAGCTTCATTCTGCACTGTTGGTTAAAGCATATTAACAGGCCAGGGAGATAGATAGCTTAGCGACATTAGTGCCTGCCTGGCAAGTGCAAGATCCTGAGTTGAATCCCTAGTACAAAAAAAAAAAAAAAAAAAATTAATGTACATGCCGATTAGAAGGAAAATAATATAACAAATATCCCTAAATCTTCCATACAACCCAAAAGCTAGTATATAACCATATCTTAATGTGTTCATGCACTTTCTATTCCTTATATTTCTTCTAAGGAAGCTATTTTCATGAATTTTGTACTTCTCTTTGCTTTTTTTTTTTTTTTCTTGTTTAATCATTAGTTTTACCATGTATATATGTTCACCTAAAATACATTTCTTGTCAATTTTTAAACATTCTGCATCTTAAATAGCATATGTAATCTCTTGGAACTTAATATTTCTAACATTCCATCTGTAATGCTCCACTTAGTGATAGTTTGTTCATTTTCACTGCACTACTAAAGTCCATGCTACCGGACTTTAACTGTCCCCTGTCAGTGACCGTTGGGTCATTTGTCTTCGTTATATCTCACCATTACCAGTGCTACCTGAATATTCCTGTGTATGTACCTTGGTGCACGTGGGCAAGCATTTTCTAGGGCAATAATTTATGCAACAGAATCACTAAGAAGAAGACGTACTATTGGCCTTCATCTCCACAAAATCTAGCTGGGATTAGGAGTAGCATCTATCAATTCCAAGAGATTGTAAGGTATAGATATTAATCCAGACCACACCTTTAGGAACCATTGCTGTACAGAATGTGTGTGTGTAGTGGTACTTATATACAGTATATATGATACCTATGGAGTCTACCAAAAAAATGTATACTCACCTTAGCATTTTATCGTACTAATAAATTTCTAGAAGCTAATAGTGACCACTTATAATTGTAGAAGCCAAAGGTAACTTGTATTAATCTTAATATGTCTCAGTAAATTTAGTATTAAAATATTTATACAGGTTTTTCTTCTCTTGACAGTATACACTGTTTTGGTAGACTCTGTATAGTTGTTTATATACAAGTATAAGATACATATGATTGCAATTATATGTGTCATTTGTATTTATATATATGTATGTGCATAGACACATGAATTGATATATGTACTTGTATGTGTATATGTAATAGTAATTATTTAGGTATTAGGGTATGTAAATATTTCATGTTAAAAATAATGCTAAATTGGTTGTCAAAATCATCATGGTCATTTATCCTCACATCAGTAATGCATGAAACTTCTCATTGATCCATATCCTCTCTCCAGCACTTGTTGTTATCCAAATTTTCCATTTTTAATATTTCCCTTCTTGGCCTTAGAGTTAGTATGTCATCTTTTTAAGAAATTAAATCATTTACATTTTTAAACTGTATTCAACTGAATGTAAATAGGGTAAAATGAGTTCTACCTTCTAGTTCTGAATTGTGTTTGGTGCTTTATTTGAGTAAATCAGTATTGATTGTGTTATGTAATGTAAGTATATAAGAAATGTTTTAAATATGTGTGTAGGCTCTAAATTTTAGACTTCACTAGCATAAATTACACTTTAAAAATCATATGTAATGCTAAATTAAAAATAACAACAACAAAAAAAAACTAACCAGTCCTGTTAGACCTGGCATAGCATTTATTTTCCCAGCTTGTCGATTGCTTTCATTTGTCATGGAATTTGAACTTTAGAAAGGATTTAGTTTGAATAGTATATAATATAGTCATTATAAAGTTCAAGATATATAAGCTTCTTGATGTACTCCATAAAATGCTTTAATTCCTTGTGCCTAGTTATTAAAGTAGGTAATCATGGAAACTTCAGGTGCATACTGGGGCGTTTAACACACTCAGCAAATAACTCTTAGAGCCTTGATCATTTTAAATGCTTAGCCTGCCTTGCTCTGTGAGTATACAAAAATAAGCAAAGTAAAGTTGGACATCCCTAATCTGAAATTTGACTTCTAACCATTTTGGGTTTCAGACTTTCAGTTAGGGATGCTCAGCCCTAAGGCTATGCAAAAATTCCAAAATCCAAAACTGATTGAAATGACTTCGAATCCCAAGCATTTTGGGTAAAAGGTAATCAGCCTTTGTATACCAGTAAGCACTTTGCTAAGCTTTTAAGCATTAATTCATTGTGTCCTCCAATTAACTTCCTAAAGTAAGTTTTACTGTTTTCTTCATTACTAATTAAAACCACACAAGTGTGAAGCGTTTGTCCCAAGTTCACCGTAAGAAAATGTTAGACTCTAGATTCAAGCGCAGATCTAGCTTATTGTGCACCTAGAACACCCAGATTTTAAGATTACAGTTTGGTGTTGGTCAACAGCAATTTCTTTTCTAGTTTTGGATTTCTTTAACATGAAAACACATGAGTCATGAAAGAGAGACACAGTTAAGAACCCTTGAAATCTCCGTTCCGATAATCTGACTTTTCAGTCCTACTTATTACATGACAGTTTATGAATTATAGGTGATGAAATTTATTATATAAGTTGTTCAAATTGCTCTGGTGTGTTTACAGGTGGTTGCTGTGTATGGAACTTTGTCTGATTTGCTTTCTGTGGCCAGCAGTAAACTCGGTATAAAAGCCACGAGTGTGTATAATGGGAAAGGTGGACTGATTGATGATATTGCTTTGATCAGGTAACCTTCACCTTTTTATAAGCTGTCAACAGTGTACCCTAGGCTTCTTGCTTGTTTCCCTAAGGCCGTAGTGTTGTCACTGCTAAGAAGATAAGGTTTTGGCAAGTGATTGGTTATAAGTAGCTTTTTTGAATTTACATGATTTGGACTTGAGGTATATTGATTGGATAGAGAACCCTTATTATAGCTCATATATTGATAGTCTTTTGTATATAATCCAGTAAGACATAGTTTTTAATGATAAATTTTACTAATCTCTTTTTATAGTACCTGCTCATGGTTAAATTTATTTCCTATAAATGTTTTGAATTTTATAAACATCACAGAGACCTTATTTTGGAAAACTTACTAAATAGGATAGAATCCTGAGAAGAGACCACCTGAGGCCTACCAGAGTAGTACATTTTTGAGTTTGTTTCCTTCAAAATCCTAGGAAGGTTATCCCTTTAAAATAAGCTCACCTCACTCCTTTCTTAAAGTCAGAGAATTTACAGCAACAGAATGGTGAAGAGGACACAAAACTAAGAGCTGACTCTGCAGTTAGGTTGTAATTGGCTCGCCTGAGTTACCTCATTTGGCTGGCAAAGCACGGGTTTTTTTAATTGACAGTGTGAAGATAATGATGCCCCAAATTACACTTGTATATAAAATGTAATCTCTGATTAAATCCAGATCAAAATAATCTTTCATTGTAATGTACTGATAGCCAACTTAATCACTTTTACCTTCATTTTACCAACAGGACACTAAGCATCTAATTGAATTTGAATGTTATCAACTTACCCACTTCATAGAGTTTAGTAGTTGACTTTGCTAATGAAAACAAACTTTCACCGTATTCTAGAAAAGTCAGGTGTCCTCATGTACAGGCAGGAAATGTAAACTGAATTTTAAATACAAACAGGAGAATTTTAGTTTTTGTATTTCTGTCTTACAACTGATCATTCAGTTTGTATGAATAATTCATACCTACTGATTGACATTAAACTAATTTTTTAACAGAAATTCTGCTTTTAAGAAAATCTCAGTATGTTCCTGTGGTGTCCCACAGGAAGTAGCTTAGGAGGACGTAACTGAAGGCTTCCGAGCTACACCTCATGGGCCTGCTTGCTGGTGTCTTGTGCACAGTAGTCTCTGGGCATCCACTGGCACCAGTCATTGGCTGGGGTGGGCTAGGAGGAGGTTATACACGGATTGTCCGGAACCGTATGGTATTTACTTGGGGTGTTCAGCGGGAACAGAGTGAGTATGTATGGTAGAGTTAGTATAAATTTTATTTTTCCTGGATTTAATAAGAAAATTTATTTTCATTTCCAAAGCATAGAGCAACAAATGACTTAGGAAAGAATGCCAATAATTTGTCTATGGATGAAGAATTAAAATGAGGTTTAAAAAAGTTGCCTGTGGTTTTAAACATATTTTGAGCAAGATGGTAAACTCATCAGTTAATAAGCCGAGCTGGGCATGATGGTGCATACCTCTAGGGAGCCGAGGCAGGAGGATTGATGCAGGCTTGAGGCCAGCCTAGACTTCATAGCAAGCTGAAGACCTGCCTGGACTACCTAGCTAGGTCCTGTCTCTAAAAGTAGGAAAAAGAAAACAATAAAGAAACCAAACTCACATAATTGGCAGTGTTTTTGTTTTTTTTTTTTTTTCCATTTCAAAAATTCTTCTATGCAAATGACCGGTACAACTTTTTGTGTACAGGATACTTGCATTTAAATCCAGAAACATATAGTAAGGGTTAAGCAGGGCACTGGAAATTTAGTTGTGGTATACAGATTGGCAGCAAAAACCATTTTCTGCATAATTCTAAGGAATATTCCTATAGTCAACAGATAATTAATGTGATTTCTAGGTTTTGATGGTGGCTTTTTTTTGAATTTTGATTTCTCCAGGGATGATGATGTTTTGTTTGTGTGTGAAGGAGAGCCATTTATTGGTAAGTGTCTTTCTTAAAAGCCAATTTTGTTCACCAAAATAAAACATGGTAAAATGGTAAATACTTTACGTAGAGTTATAAAGCTTAATGTTAAAAGGATCTCAATCCTTCACTGTTGTACAAAGCAAATAAATCAAAACATGTCTTGGCACATGCCCCCCAAGGAGATACACATATCCTGCCTTTCGATTTGGAAGAAAGTGTATGTAGTTAAGAATATCGCAAAAGACAAATCCTAAAGCTTACGTAGGCAAATGTTCTTTAAGGAGCATTTTATGTGTATAGTTTTTGCAATCACACCTGAGTGTGTGTCTAAACATTTGTAGCGATAGTTGCCTGAATCTTTGCTCAGCTCTTCTGTCTCTACTTAAAACCATGTGCAGACTCTTCCTCGTCTTTTGTCCATCAGCCTAAGAACGGTTGGCAGACAGTGGTTGCTTAGTTCATTCTTTGCATACAGTGATTTATTTACAGTGAAGTCAGAATGAGACGGTAACCTGGTAGTGGAGTATATATATGGTTAGCGTGAGTGAGGTCCCCAGCACCACAAAAAAAAGAAAGTCATTAGAATTTGTTCCGTGTGTGGCTACAGACTCTTACATTTAGACGCAGTTGGTGTGTTTCCATTGTCTGTGTTCACTGCCACTCAGATGATCTTGCATGGCTGGTACGAAGCTTCAAGTCTTTCTAACAGTTCCGTGTGTCTTTTGTAGGTCCCTCACCTTCTGAAATGTCAGGGTTCATCTTACCTTTCTTGTCACAGACATGGATCGACATTTTTTCATGAGTTAATAATTGTGATTTCAAGATACAATCTGAGCACTGCTGTTAGGTCTTTTTGATGGCCAGAGTGAGAAGTATATAGGTAGCTAGAAATAAAATTTACATATAATGTGTTCTATAATAAAGACTAAACAGTTTATGTCATATATAACTTAACATATAAATAGATGAAATATCTTTGGGTTCATAGTACTCTATGTTTAGGATTATAGATATAGTCAGGATTACAAATATAGTTCAGGATTATTTTATTTAACATTTCTTTTATTATATCTGTGTAGCCATTCTTCAGTATCAATAATTCTGGCTTTTATCAATATTACCAGTGATAGGATTATGTCTCATTATTTAGAGGGCTTGCCTGATAGCTCAGTTGTTTAAAGCTCTGCTTGGGCAAATGCAGTCAGGAGCAGGGGACTGCGGTTCGATACCCAGCCCCACAAGCCCCATACCCACACTCAAGACAGCCAGAAGTAGCCAAAAAAAATCCTTCTCATTATTTACTTCATTCCACACAAACCACAAAAATTTATCAGAATAACAAAGCGAATACTTTCCATACCAAGATGCTTACTAGAAATAAACATTTTTTGCATATTGTCATCCTTTCTACTCCCCTCCCTTTTTTTTTTTTTTTTTTTTTTTCAGTACTATGAATTGAATTAAAAGCCTTTACACTGGACTTCTCAGCCCTATTTCTTTCTTTTTTCTCTCTCTCTCTCTTTCCCTCTTTTCTCTTCCTTCCTTCCTTCCTTCCTTGAAGCAGGGTCTTACTTAGTTGCCTAAGCCGCAGTCCTCCTACCTCAGGCTGCCAGAGTGCTGGGATTACAAGTGTGGGCTACCACACCTGGCTCCTTTCTCCACTTATTAAAAATAATTTGTATTTCTGCATTGTCAGATTGTGTAGCCATATATATTCGCTCCCTGAAAGTCCTCATTTAATTTCAGCTTTTCAAGTGTGTATAATGTTTACCTCCCATCGTGTGTCAGTTTCTCCAGTGGTTGCCTGTCTGAAACTTGTTCTCTAATAGATCCTTCCCAGAGTTTGTGAAAACTGCACTCTCTGACATCTTGTCCTTTGTGGTTTCTATGCTTGAAAGTCTCATGTAGAATCATGTCACAGCTTATCAAATTACAAACTTTAAATGTGAATATTTTATGTCACTTGTATCACAGGGAACCTATGGGAATATGCTTGGCTCACATTATTTGATTTTTTTTTTTTTTTCCCCAGAACCAGGGATTGAACTCAGGCCCTTGCGCTTGCCAGGCAAGCGCTTATTCCACTGAGCCATCTCCCCGGCCCCAATTGGTTCACATTATTTGAAATTATTAAATTCTGGCAGGAAGTGTTGGCTTCAGAAACCTGATCTCTTTTTTTGTGATTGTCTCTCTTAGATCCTTGAAAGGATTTTTCTTTTCTTTCTTTTTTGGTACCAGAAATTGAACTTAGGAGCTTGCGCTTGCCGGGAGGCACTTACGCCAGTGAGCTAGCTCTCCAGCAGAATCGTCTTTTTTTGATGCACAGTATTTTAGTAGAATATTTTTTGGTGCTCTGGGTTGGTTTTCTCAGCTATGTGATGGATCCTTTTTAATATAGTTATAAATACTTATATTTTTAAATTTCAGAAATATTTTCTTTAACTTTAAATTACCTATTTTGTCTTTTTGTTTTGATTTTCTTTCAGGATTCCTATTATAAGTTAAATCTACATTTGCTTTTTACATTTGAAACCTACTTTTATAAATCTATTTTATCTCTGTATATCTTTTTGAGTTGTAAAGCTTTTTTACCTTGTATTTCCCTTATAACATTGTGTTTAGTCATTTTTGTCTTTTTCCTGGTTTAATCTTCATTGTTGAAATATTTCTAATTCTTTCTTGACTTCCTCATTTCTGAATTTTTATAATTCCAGTTTCTGTTATGCTTTATATTTATTTACTATTTACAGCATGTTTTGGAACATTATAACTTTCATTTATTTTGTGGGCATTTCTTTCTGGCATATTTTTATTATCCCTAGTGACATGATTCCTGTTCTTTCCTGTTTATTTAATATTTCTATAAGGATTTGACCAATCATTTCCTGTTGCTCATTTGCACCTAAAATTAAGTTTTGCTTAATTTAAAAATGAAGGTGTAATTTATGAAAGTTTTTTTTTCTAATTTCATGACCCTACAATTCCCTTTTCTGCTGTTTTGTAAAGTGTTAAAAATACAGGATCATTTCTTGATGTAGTTCTGGTTCATTAGACCTTCTTTTTATGGACTCCTGTTTTCTCTGTTCCCTTTGTTTTGTTCTGTTTGGAATATTTCCCTGGTATCTTGTCATCATGTCAGGTTTTGCCCTGAGAAGGAAGTTTTGGCTGGTAGGTTTTGAGAGATAATTTCCAGCCCTTTGAGATATTGCTCCAAGCTCCTGGTGTCACCCTTTTTGGGGATGGCCATGCCCCTCTACTCTCAGCTAGTTCTTCTCAGGTTTGCCCAGCTGTGAAAGCAGCACCTCTGGTAGCTTTGGATTTCTTGGGCTCACCACACACCCTGTTGCTTTTCCCTGCTTTTTCCTTCACCCCGTGGGCACGTTACTCCTCGAGCTGTAGGTGGCCTTGTGAGTACCTTCTGCCTGTGGGTTGGGGTTTTGCTGTTCTAGTAACTCAGTATACTTTTATGATCAATTTAGTTTCAAAAATCACACCATCTTCTCTAAACCCCCAGTCTTACTATTTTTATTTTCTACTTGTCATCTGTAGATCCTCAGACAGATTCTAAGCCACCGGAAGGATTGTTAGGACCCCACACAGACTGGCTAACATTAAATGTTGGAGGGCGGTACTTTACAACCACACGGTAGGTGTGCATGCGTGCAAGAAACACTGAAAGGCCTTGCGTGTGCCATTGGTTCTCTCCTTTAATTTGCTGACTACTTACAAGGTAATCCAATGGCTGCTTAAATATGCAATGCGATGTGCAGACGTATTTCAGAAAGTTTTTAGAGAAAAAAGCAGAACATAATTACCATGTCTCTAATCCAGAGAAGGCATCAAAAGCATGAATCTGGTGTCTTAGAAGTGTGCCTTTCGATAGCAATAATATGCATCAAATGCAAGTAAAAATTAACTGTATTGACTTTTGTAAAGATTATGGCTACTTATTAAAGAGAATCAGAAAAATAAGTTTAGGTGATAAATAATACTGTGATATAATACCTAGCTAAAGAGTAGATTAGTGTTTAAGTAAAAATAAAATGGTATTTAACTGAAAGGAAGTGCCGGATTAGAAGAGATTTTGATGAATAGCCACTCACTGCACGTTTTTGTTTCCCAGCATTGCTCCTACCAGGTTTAGCATGCATCTTTTTGAAAGAACAGCAGAAATCAAGTATACTCTTGACTTAAATATGTTTGTTTATAAAGACACATGAAGAAATCAGTTTTTTTCCCTGCATTCTTAGGAGCACTTTAGTGAATAAAGAACCTGACAGTATGCTGGCCCACATGTTCAAGGACAAAGGTGAGTAGATGGCCTGTTTTTATGATCTGTTAATATCTACGTGACTCTGTAGCTCTTGAATGGACTTTTTTTTTTTTTAATTTTTTATTTATTTGAGAGAGAGAGAGAGAGAGAGAGAGAGAGAGAGTGAGTGTGTGTGTGTGGCCAGCTCAGCCCACTAGGGGGCGGGGCTGGCTGGCTTGTGGTGCTGGGGGATCGAACCACGGTCCCTGATGCTTTGCCAAGCTTGTTCCAAATAGGTGCTTTAGACCACTGAGCCATCTCTCCAGCCCCTTGAATGGACTTTTCCGTGGTATCGAGAATCGTTACATTAATAGAAACTTGCTGGTGTGCTAGGCTACTTTGTCCCACCGATTCTAGCCGTTGTGGTTACGGGCCTTTCTTCACCGTTTCGGTCACACAGGTGTCTGGGGAAATAAGCAAGATCACAGAGGAGCGTTCCTAATTGATCGGAGTCCTGAGTACTTCGAGCCCATCCTGAACTACTTGCGTCACGGCCAGCTCATCGTCAACGATGGCATTAACTTGCTGGGTGAGTGTTCAGTGATTCCTCGTACTTTTGTTTTTTTTTCCCCCTTGTACTTTTTAAGTTGAAGATTGTTTTGTTTTGTTTTTATAAACAATGTATATTTTCACAGAGCAAAAGTATGTCTTTCCCACTCTAAACTGTTAAGTTTTCACACAGGTAGAGTACATGTAGGTATAGAAATAGATAACAGATATTCTCTCAGGTGTGTAGTCTTTGTGTATATTAGAAGGCAAAAAATATAGATCGGAGTAGAAATTAACTAAATTGATCTGTTCTGTCCTGTCTCTCTCCATCCCATACACATTTTCATCTTTTCAAAGAACAAGCTCTGATTCATTGGTCCTTTGTATTGTGTGTGGGTGTTTAAGTCTCTATTTCTTTTTATTCATTTCAGATTTGGATAGTTATCAAAAGAGACTTTGAGGGATCATTGAGATAGCTCAGGGGGCTAAGCACTTACTTAGGCAAGCTTAGGGACCTGGTTAGATTCCTGGTACGGCATGCGCACCAGCCCCAAGCCCAGGGTACCAGCCCCACCCCCAGGGCAGGCTGAGCCAACCAGAGAGAGAGAGAGACAGACAGACAGACAGACAGAGACACTGAATGACATTGCTGTACAATCTCTCTCCAGACTCTTCATGTTGCCTTTAGGTTGACCCCAGCAGCTAAATGCTTTAAAATCACCTAAACCTAGCCAGGTATGGTGGTGTACACTTGTAATCCTAGCACTTGGGAGGCTGAGGCAGGAGGATCACCAGAGTTGAGGCCAGCCTGGGCTACATAAGTGAGTTCAAGGCCAGCCTGCACTATATAGGGAGACCTCATTTCTAAGTAAATAAATAAACTAGAACAAAAAGATAGTAAGCAGCAGAGCTGGGTTTCAGATCCGGGTCCTACTAGTACAAATAGAAAATATAGAAGTTCTGGTGTCCCCAGATCTTGGCAAACTGAGAGCAAGACCCATTAGAACCTCTTTATAGTAAGTTTCTACCCAGGACAGAGCCTCTGAAGTGGCTGCCTTGCTAGAGGAATCCCTGGAGGGAGCTGCTCCGGCATGGACAGGGGAATGTGTCCCTGGGCAGTGTGCTAGCCACCGGTCATTTGTGTGTCATAGTTAGATTATTGGACATGGAATCAGTTTTCAAAGAAAGGATCATTATCTTCCCAAATGACTGCTTGCATTTTTGTTTTATTAACTTAGAACTATTTTAAGAAGGAACTATATCTCATACTTTGTATTCCTAAGTTCTTAGGGTTGTGTTATTTTGGGTTCTTAAAACCATTTGTTATGACTTGTGTCTAGATATTGCCCCCAAAGCCTCATGCAGTCATAGATGGGGATTTTTCGGGAGTGATCCTGGGATTAATTCCTGGTAGGATGCTGGCTCAAAGGCTTTAGGGTTAAGGCTGTGAGCACTAACCCCCGAAGTAGCCTGAATAAGATGGGCGGGGTAGAGGGAACTGTAGCGCCCCCCACACACACCCTCGGCTGCTTTGCTACCTTCTGCTTACTGTGAACTCTTTCCCTGCTGGATTGCCTGTCTGCTCTGCCACCCTGTCTCGGAGCCAGCCAGTTATGGACTGAACCCTGTTCTCCTGTAGCTTCAGCTGTCAGGTGTTTTGTTCATCATCGAGAAAAATAAGATTCTGTTTAACTGAATGGTGGAGGCTTCATCCAGCAGAGAGTGGATTCTAGGTTTAGTCCCACACACTCTGACAATAGGTGACAGTAAGCATACCGGGTCTCCCAGTGAAAGGTGAAATCCCTTTTATCTTTTAGAAATCCCCCATAAAAGCTGATTTTCCTACAAGAAAACTTCTGTGTTATACTTTTGACTTGTTATGAAGCTGACTTCAACTTTTATTCACTTTAACATTTTCTGATTCAGTAAGTAAAAGATATTTATGACAAATCCAATCAGATTTGCACCATTAAAAAAGTAAATGAAATGTTCAGATTAAGTGCACTAATCATTTTTATGGGATTCACAGTGAAATCACTAAATCTGCTGTCTTAGAAATGTGTACTGCTCAGCTTTCTTATGACCTCTCATTATAAGCAACAGTTTTGAAGGATGGAAAGCTTTTGTTCTAATTAACTTTTTTTTATCTTACAGAAAACCTTTGTTTTAAAAATATTTTTCAATATTCTGTATATAAATTCTAAACATTTGCTACTTTCCTGCTCTTGACAGTAGCCTACTTGTTGGATTTCAATTCTCCTGTGAGCGTTCAACACGGAGAATTCTGTAGATATCAAATGAATTGTTGGTTGAGGCTGTAGCTCAGTAGTTGAGCACTTGCTAACATGACTGAACCCATGGGTTCAGTACCCTACACAAGCAAACAGAATTGTCCCTAAAAGTCACATCTTTTTGTTCTGGTAGGAGTGTTAGAAGAAGCCAGATTTTTTGGAATTGATTCATTGATTGAACACCTAGAAGTGGCAATAAAGGTGAGGCTCTCTTCTCGACCATTATTACATTTACACAGGTTTCTCCCCAAAATGGCCCTCTAATTCTATAATATCTTTTCCAAGAATTCCCAACCACCAGAGGACCATTCACCAATATCCCGAAAGGAATTCGTTCGGTTTCTGCTAGCAACTCCAACTAAGTCAGAATTGCGTTGCCAGGTAACTAATGCAGATTTATATGACTTCCTTCCATCAGCGACTCTGTGAGTAAATTAGACCCTCATCCTCCTAGGGTTTTGCTTATTTACAGTATTTTTGTTTAGCTTTGGTTTTGTTTTCATGCAAGATATAGTTTAATTATGGGCCATAGCACTGACTTCTTTTTAAAACAGCCAGAAAAAGATGCAACAGCCTTTTTTTATTATTATCTAGTTATACTTTATTTAGCAGTTTTGAATAGTGTGGGAAATCGCTGCAATTCTAGAACAGTTAATATTTGCCCAGTTGTAGTGTACGGCTAGTCAGTGGCAAACACATGTGGATTATAGCTTTCAGAAAACCTTTGTTTTACTAAATCAGAATTGAGCTTATACACAACACATGTGTATTGTAGCTTTTGATACCTACTTTTTCTTAATACACTGTTCTGAATTCTTGAGTTAAAATCTTTGAATCATAATCAGCTTTAGCTAAAGTAACACCAGCAGGTATGTTATTAACAGGGCTTCCTCTTTAGAAATGTCTGCACATAAATGAAGTATAGTCAGTGTCTTAATGTACATGTGAAGTTTCTTTTATGTGGAACCCATTAAAAACTAGTACTTTATGTATGTAAGTTCCATTTGCTTGTGTTTTATAATAAACTCCAAGTCACTGAACTGCCAATTGCTTCTAAAAAAACAAGATGGTTAGTTATAGTAATTAAATTTAATGCAAACAGATGGTTTAAATATTATGACAGTTTGTGCTTTCTAATTTCAGGGTTTAAACTTCAGTGGTGCTGATCTTTCTCGTTTGGACCTTCGATACATTAACTTCAAGATGGCCAATTTAAGCCGCTGCAACCTTGCACATGCAAATCTCTGCTGCGCGAATCTTGAGCGAGCTGATCTTTCTGGATCAGTGCTTGATGTAAGAATCATTCTTGGTTATGAGAAAAATTAAAATTTTAGGCTAGTAAGCAGTCTCGAAAAACAAGAATTTTATCTGTCTCTTAGAGGAGCTTTTCCTTGAAAACAGCTGATTTAGTATGTTAATGATAAAACTAAAAGCTCTAAAAGTGGAATACATTGGGTTTGCAACTTTGATATCCTTTATTAAATGTAGACCCAGAAGGTTCGGCAGCTAATAAGGGATATCTTGAAATTGCTTCTTTTTTCTTGGCGGAACCGGGGATTGAACTCAGGCCCTTGCACTTGCCAGGCAAGTGCTTATTCTACTGAGCCATCTCCCCAGCCCTTGAAATTTTGGTTCTTGATCTCAATATAATATACTAAATTTGTTATACAATACCTGGTATTTTCCTACATGTTTTTAAACAAGTGTAAAGCTGAAAGGAACCTTTGCAGTCTTTTCAACCTCCTTTTTGGAATGGGAAAATGCGACTGTCCTAAATTGTCAGATACTTTGAAATAAGCCTGGTATGCACCAGCCTGGATATTAGCATCTGAATGGCTCGCTGGCTCTCTCTCTCTCTCTCTCTCTCTCTCTCTCTCTCTCTCTCTCTCTCTCTCTCTCTCTCTCTCTCTTTCTGTCTGTAGATATTGTTATGGATATGTGTGTGTATATATACATATATAAATTCAAAGGCATGTATATATGTGGCCATATGTACTCATGTAACAATTACCTGTATGAATTTGGGGTTAGAGAATATATATAGAACTAATAACAACTTTAAGTTCTTTAGTACCAAGGCTTAAGTCTGTATGTCTTTGAAACTGCCCCTAATATAGCATTTGGCGCTTTTCTTTTTTTGGCAGAGCTGGGGCTTGAACTCAGACCCTTGCGCTTGCCAGGCAAGTGCTTATTCTACTGAGCCATCTCCCCAGCCCGAATTTGGCTATTAATAATCATTTATTGAAATACTGTAATGTGGGGCTTATTCTTAAGTTATAACCTATTTTCCATGGAGCTTTGTGTCAGATCTGGTAAAAACTCTGAGTATGCATTTTAGGTACTGTCACTCGTTATTCTGTTATGTGAGGAAAGGTCCAGTCAGCAGTGAAACAGGTGCAGGACTAACAGCACAACGAAACTTAGTCTCAAGTGAAATGTTGAAGACAACTTGTTATTTTTTATGCCAAGGGCAAAAAGAGATATAAGACAGATAAGGTCATTCGGCACAACTGGTTTGCAGCTCTGTTTAATTATAGTTTTATGAACTGTGAAACTGAGCCATTATTTTCTTCTCTGTAATGTAGGACTTGATACTTACTCTATCTGCATCATATAGGTGATGTGAAGGCCCAAGTAGACAATGAAAAATCAGCAGGTGTTACAGGAATATAAGCCTCATTATTCAGGATGAAAATGGCTCCTGCTGCAGTGTCATAGGCCAGACCATCCAGGCTGTGAGAGTCACGACTAACTTCTCACTGTCCTTGGCACTTGAAGACGCCGCTGCCTACCAGCCCTGTGTCCTCAAGTGTTGATGCTGGTGACACTGCAGCAGGTGGCCATGCTGGCAGCCCCCACCACTCTTGCTGCACGGCTCACCCAGTTTGTAGCTTCACTTCTTGCCCTCGCGGCCTGGGAAGCCTGTCCATAGAACCCTTGTCTTCTGTGGTAGAGCAGGATGCGCGCTCCGGCTGCGCTGTCCAGTGGCCCCTTCTGTCCACACTCTGCTGCTGGGAGATGATTCAGCTGGTCCCTGTCCATTGCATTTTCCCGCCCAAGAATTACAGAATGCTCAGAGCTTGCCAAATGGTAAGAATGCAAATAATTATTGAGCATGACTTGGCCATTTTACGGAATGAGAAATAAGAGTCTTGCCAGAGGCCAAAGGTTGGCTTTTACCAGAGTTAGAACTAGAATCTAAAGTTTTCCTTTCTTTTTTTTTTTTTTCTTTTGTAAAAGACTTTTCACATTATAAATGCTGAGAATTTGCAAAGGACACAGTAAATCCCCCTTGTACCACTGTCACTCAGCTTCACGAGATCTCAGTATACAGCCTGTTTCATTTTGTCTGTACCTTGCCACAAGTCATTTTAAAATTTTGATCTTTTTCAAGTCCAGTCATCCTGTACTTACACCAGTCCTTCAAGGGCCTACCTGTCCTACCTATCTAGTTAGGGCTGCCTTAAGCAAGAGTTTGTTAGTTATCTGTGATTGAAATGGTCTCTGTCTTGTCTCCTTTTATCAGAATTGACTGTAGGCTGAATGAAATTGTACCTATAAAAGGGGTTGGAGAGATAGCTCAGACACATAAGTCCTACTTGGCAAGCACAAGGACCCAAGCTCAATTCCCGGCCCCACATATTGTGTGATCTTGGCCCTGGATCCCCAGGCATGTCTCGGCCCCCATGCAGGTGCCTACCATGGGGACCTGGAACTGGGTGTGGTAGCACATATCTGTAATCCTAGCACTTGGGAGGTTGAGCCAAGAGGATCTTTGTGAGTTTGAGACCAGCCTGGGGGCTATAGAAAGTGAGCACAAGGCCAGAGGAAACTGCGTAGTGAGGCCCTGCCTCAAAAAAAAAAAAAAAAAAAGGAAAGAAAAAAGAAATTATACCTATAAAATAAGGGATTTTCTTCATAGATGTGTGTAGCATATAACTTGACCAGCCTTAGGGTTTTAGGCAACTACAACTATTGTTCATATTGTACCTTATAATTTTCTGTTTTTATGTGTGCCTTGTAATTTTTAAAATACTTTTTCATTCTGCTTCCACTTTGCCCATGGGAAAGTGTTCCCGGGCATCTAGTGATTCTCAGAGTTACAGAGCTGATGGCATTACACTTTTAAGAAGGGTTATCAGGGGACCAGGGAAATAGCTCAGTAGAATAAGTGCTTTCCTGGCAAGCGTAGGGCCCTGAGTTCAATCCCTGGTCCTGCAAAAAAAGAAAAAAAAAAAAAAGAAAGAAAGGTTATCAGTTTAAGTCTCCTCGACTTTTTCTAATTATTACTCTGTGCTCTATGTGTGCCCTGTGCCCTGGGTGCTCAGGGTGTACAGTGCTATGTGGCAGCCACTGGTACAGAAGACCAAATAAGCAGTGTGTTCACAGTTTGTAGCCAAATGATATGCTTAGTTGCTGGCATTAGTATTCTGGCCTTTGAAGAGAAAGTGGTAGGAACCTCCTGAAGCATCACAAATTCCATTTATTGATTTCTATAGTGATAAGGGGGGGAAATCACTAGTGCGTGCTTTCTTCACTCATGTATTTCAACTGCCATCGTCGTGCCAGGGGCTGTTCACGAAAATAGAAATAGGGCGTCAGAGTTCTCCCCCAGCTTCTTGTCTGTTCTAAGCACTTAGGTTTTATGTAAAGTGAATGTGCTGTTGTTAATTTAGCATCTTGCTTCTTTTAAAACAGTTCTAAAAGAATTCTTTAAAATGTTTAGTTGTGTGTGGGTTCCATTAAAGTCTTTATTGTAAATAGAACATATGTGATTACAAATGTGTAGGATTAAACCTTTTCCTCTTTTTGGTAGTTTTTTCCTGTTTACACCAATTAGAACAAAATTATGAACTTTGGGGCTAGGGATATAGCTCAACAGCATAAGTACAAGGTCCTGAGTTCAATCCCTGGTACCACAAAAAAATAAATAAATAAATAAAAATTATGAACTTTAAAACCCAGTCGTTTTCTTCGCAGTGCGCTAACCTCCAGGGAGTCAAGATGCTCTGTTCTAATGCAGAAGGTGCATCCCTGAAGCTCTGTAACTTTGAGGATCCTTCTGGGCTTAAAGCCAATTTAGAAGGTGAGGTCCTCTTCTGAGATAGCTTCCTCTGGCGAAAGGCAAGACCAGGGGGAAGCCCCGTAGAGCCCTCACTGCAGCTGGCACGCGTCTGTAGCGTTTGCAGAGGGGTAAACGCGTCTTGGCTGTCAGTCACACGCTAGTCAACATCGAGGACTCGGAGGAGACAAAGCCTTGACTGTTTAGTGAGACTTTAGTTGGAAAAATAAATACCTGCAGCTTAACTTTCTAATGTAGTATTCTTCTACTAATCAAAGGAAAATTACAATTTGCACTGAGTTTTTTTGTCTTTTTTAGTTTTAATAATTCATTATTTGTCGTGTTTGTGAATGGGGCACTTTGTTGACTTGTATACTTAGGAGACCCTGTATTTAACCCTTGTCATAAACCTCTGGTGAGATACTGTAAAAAAGTGCTAGTTATCATAAGGTGGAATTTATTTCTCCTCAAAAGCATACATGAAGCGACACGTGGTGGTGCTTTCCTGTAATCCCGGCACTCAGCAGGCCAAGGCAGCCTGCTATCTGGTGTGTTCAGGCCAGCGTAGACTACAAAGCGAGACCCTCCCTCAAAAACCCAAACATACAAAAAAGTATCAATGAAACTATTATTTTATACCCTAAGTAAACAGATTAACACTGAACTCTATAGCTGTAAGTTGACTGAAATTTTAGGTTCATTTCCAAAAGTTGTAGCAGACTGTCCTCTCTTCCCTCTATTTAGCTGTCTTCAGTTTTGCTGACCGTTGGTAAGTTTAGGTATTCTTAAGTTCCTCTCCTTTCCATCTGTGTTCACCATAGGTGCTAATCTGAAAGGTGTGGACATGGAAGGAAGTCAGATGACGGGAATCAACCTGAGAGTTGCTACCTTAAAAAATGCAAAGCTGAAGAACTGTAACCTCAGAGGAGCAACTCTGGCCGGAACTGACTTAGAGGTGAGTGCACCGTTGCGAGAATTGTAGGTACTGCAGACTCTTCGCGTGAAATTCAGGGAAATGGTAAGCAGCGTAGTCAGCTGGTGAGACCCCAGGTAGCACCAGCGCAGCGGGGGAGGCTGGTCCCTTTTAGTTGCTCATCCCAGGAAGTGCCAGTTCCAAAGCAGGAGCCATCAGCTGCATCCTAGATGCTAGTTGTGGATGTGAAGTCTCGTGTTCATCTGGGTGATTTCATTTCTCTGCTTTTTGGTGGGTTTTCAAGACAAGAGGCTTGATTAATCTAATTTATTGTGGTTTTCAAAAATTTTAATTCCAGACAATTCAGTGGGCCAGATTATGTCTTGCACTACTTAAAAATTAAAAGGGTATACAGCTTTGAAATCCCGCTGAGGGAAAGCCCATTTTAAGTTAGCATCATACTCTTCTGACTCTCACTTTGAGATTTTACTTTTCTGCAGTCATCTTTTTCTTAAGAACTATACTCTGTATTGTCTTGATTTACATGTTTAGCTAGTGGCCTCCTCAGCTGTCACCGCGGTTGCTGTCTCAGCATGGTCCAGTCTACTTTGCAGAGTGGGACATGTTCTCTATCCGTGCTGCTCAGTGAGGTAGCTAACTACACAACACGCTCACGGTGTGTCTGCACAGCTGAAAATTGATCTTTTTTAAATTGACTTCTAATTCATTGACCCACATGTGACTGGTAGCTGTCACATTATATTGAATGATACAGCCTTATGTTAACCTTCCAGAGAGGGGTAGAGAGGACAGTGTATGAAAATTTAAGCTGGAGATATTTTCAGATAGATTCACACCTTGATCTGATCGTGCTGAGGAACATAGTGGTAGAACCTTTTTTTTTTTGTATTTTGTGCAGGGTCTCACTATGTAGCTCAGATTCATAGTGATCCTCCTGTTTTCAGCCTCCCCAGCACTGGGATTACAGGTGTGTGCCACCACTCCCAAACTCGATTGCTGGCTCAGCACCCGCAGGCATGTGGTGCCAGGGGTCGAACCCTGACCCCTGTGCTTGCCTGAGCAGGCACAGTGGTGGAGCTTTTTAAAACTAAAGACAAGAAAAACAGGCCTGAGGCCAACAGTGTCATCCTTTTATGAGCAAAATTATATATCATTTGGTAGTGTTACCTGAGAACATAGTTTTTTCCCTTGATTTTAGTTACCATGTAGACATTGTAGTTAAGGCAACCAAAGCCTTCCTCCTCCCAGGGGATTGCAGAGACTGACCCAGCTGACTGTTGAGGCCAGCTGCCGGCATTGGCTGCGTATAGTCACCGTCTGACACCATGATCCCTACTATTCCCAGGGACTTAGCAGGAATCTCTCTTCTGTCTTTTCTTCTGTGATCTTGAAAGAAATCACAGCTTCCAGTTGTGGTGACTGTGCCAATGTGTGGTGTCTACCAAAACTCATGGAACTGTACTTAAATTTGGGGCTAAAAAATAAAAGGCAACTCTCTGCCATGAAAATGTTAGGGGTAGAGAATGGAAAAGTCTACTACACAAAATGACTAAATAAAATCTCAGATTTGAGGGGGAAAAACAACAAAAAAGTCTTTCTCTAACTCCTGCCTTTTTTTATTTAATGTATTTGGTACAAGGTCTCACTACGCAGTTCAGACTCATAGTAATCCTCCTGTTTTCTGCCTCCCCGGTGCTGGGATTACAGGCGTGCGCCACCACACCCAACCTCTGTGGCCAGCTCAGCACGCCCAGGGGCGGGGCTGGTGCGGCATGTGGTGTCAGGGATCTAATCCCGGTCCCTGCATTTGCCTAGGCAGGTGCTTAGTCTGCTGAGCTATCTCGCTGGCCCTTTATCTGCTGCCTTTTGAATTATAATGATAACAGTTATTACACTGGAATCTATTTTGGATTTTAATTGCTGATTTCTAAAATCCATGAAGAAAAAGGACATGCTTTCCTTTAACCTGCGTTTATACACTTATGGTAGAAGAAAATATGACTTTAACACGTAGCCCGCTCCTGGCAAGCACAAGGTCCCAAGTATAATCACCAGTACTGGAAAAAAAAAAAAAAAAACGTAGCCAGGAGTATCCTGAAAATTGATTTCTGCTATCGCAACATTAGCTGAGAACTCATTTTGTCAGGAAACATCTAAGGCCTAAATCTCTATGAGTTACGTGGGTTGTGCTTTGTCTTGCAGAACTGTGATCTGTCTGGCTGCGACCTTCAGGAAGCCAACCTGAGAGGGTCCAACGTAAAGGGGGCCATATTTGAAGAGATGCTGACACCACTCCATATGTCACAGAGTGTCAGATGAGAGTTTTGGGGAGGAAGATAGCCGGATGACAGATGTTCTCCTTATCGTCTTGTTTCTCTACCCATTCAGTTGTCTAGAAGATATAACACTGTAAGAGAATTTTAAAAATATTTAGAGGATTACGCTTGTTCTCGGTGCATCGGGAAAAAATTTGAAATTTTCCCATAGAAAATTTAACAGAGAAGCACTCATTTAATAGGTGTAGGAAAAGTAGATTATATTGCTGCCTTTTGAATGGGGTAAGGGGATTTGCCTGGTTTTGTGACCTGGAATAATAGTATCTATTATATTTGCTTTTAAATAGGCATGATGTGGAAATACCATCTTGGTTTAAGATGCAATTGAGAATTTTAATTTATGAAAAGCACAAAATATGCAATTATATTTATTGAATACCTAGATGCAGTATGGATATTTAAACTTTATGAAACTTTGAAAATATTGTTCAGGTTCGTAGATAGCTTTGGTGATGCCTCCCCTCTTTAAATATCTGTTGTTCTGTGTGAGTGTGGTGAGGTCAGACTCCCTGAGGCTCTCTATTCAGGTTCATTTTTATATGTTTACTTTTAGAACAAACCAGTAGCTAAATTTTAAAAATATCCTTCTCTTACTGATCGAGACAGAGTGGAAAGAAAGCCTTGTACATCATAACTACAAATAATAAACATTCGCCAGAATTTCATTCTAGGGAAGTTCCACTCACACTAGACCAGGCAGTTTTTTCTGTCTACACTACTAGTCTAGTTTTCACATACAATCAACACAAGCACAGGAAGATACCAAAAACCTAAAGTGCATCATTAATTTTCATTTAATTCAATCACCAAATGGCTTAAACTTGGCCGGCTTAGAAATGTGTATTAAATCCAAATCCACTGCTGTTAAAGCCTCATAATATGAGTAAGCATGGCGAAGTCACCTTTTAAAAGGTGACATAATTGCAGTGCAGCTCAAACCCTACAGTGAGGAAATGTAGAATTTTAAATTAACAACATAATTACAACCACAAAATGTTAATAAATTTAGCTGGTCTGAGATGTAACACCAGTCAGCACCTGTGGTTCTTGTACTTGTCTTTTTTGTTTGTTTCTTTTGAATTGTAGCCCAGCATCTGAGTCATTGTCTCCCTGTAGCAGCAGAGAGAGGGCCTTTTCTTCTCTACCAGTACCCCAGTGTCCTTCTGTCTACTCAAGAGCAGGGATATAAGCTATGTCCAAATGGGTTCTGAGTCTTATAGTCATCGACTCGAGGCAACGATTCATGGAAAACCACTTCTGTCTCCTCTGGGAGAATGACGTATCTGCAGTTTCCGTAGCTCGTCTTCTATTTCTACATATGCAAAGCTTTCCTTAGCAGTAAAGGGCGCTTATGCACAGTGGGAGGGGCTGAACCTTTACAGGTGAAGGAAAGCAACTTTAGAAATGAATTATTTTCTTTGCTTTATTATTTTTACCAAGACAGAAAAGTATTGTATTGAGAGATATCTATTTTCATAATCAATATGTGCCTAAATTATATTTAAATCATTTCACTCTGTACTATATTTTCAATAATTATAGAATGTGTTGTTCTTTCACTGAAGGGTACCTCTGTAGACAAACCTAAAACTGCAGAAGGATCTGAAAGATCTAAAAACAGTGTACTTAGAAACTGCAGGCTTTGGATCTAAGGTATACTGCATTAATAAATGATATGAAATGTTGAACAAGTGTTTCTTCTTTTTTTAAATTTTTTTGTTTTACTTTATTTTATTTATTGGCGGAACTGGGGATTGAATTCAGGCCCTTGCGCTTGCCAGGGAAGCACTTATTCCACTGAGCCATGTCCCCGGCCCCAAAGGTCTGAGATTTGTTTCTTCTCTTGATTTTGAAAATCAACACTGTCTGTGTTTTTCTGACATTTCCTCAGAATGTGTTAAGCGCTAGCCCAGAAGGTTGGGGTGAAAAATGAAACACAGCGTAGCATTTCCTAGGGACTAGTTTTCTTTAAAGGTGCCATTAAAGTAAGCTCATTTCTTCAAACAAGATATTCATCTATGGCCTTTTGTTTTTAAAATCACCATGGTAACAAGAAAAACTATTCATGCTGATCAGAAGTCTTCCTTCCAGTAATTTGTGTTGATCTTTAGCATCCAAACATTACTGTTAGTTTTATTCTGAATAAGTAACAATACATCCCACAAACATTTCTTTGCCTGACAGCTGTGTGAAAGAGAATCCTGAGGAGGAATAAAGTTTCAAGATAGTAAAACTTTCACTAGCCCCAGCTATAAAACATGTTTACTGTACTTGTTGTTGTTGGGGAAAGGTTAGGGAAAGCTTTTAAATCTAAGATCATTTCAAGGAACTCTTCGTAGGAAATGTTGGCTAGTTCTCCACACCCTTAACCCACCACACACTGGGATGGAACCCAGGCCTTACAGACTAAGCCAGTGCTCTACCACAGAGCTACCTCTCAAGCTCTTTGCAAACCTTGAGACAGCATCTCACTAGGTTACCCAGGCTGGCCTCTTGACCTGTAGTCAGCGCTCAGTCTCCCAGGCAAGCTGGAGTTACAGGTGGGCACCACCATGCCCAATGAAGGCATTTTTCTTACAAATGTTTCCTTTGTAAATCAAGATAGTATTTTCCCCAGTTCATTTAATGAATCTGTTGTTTATACTGTAAATCTTCCTCCAAGTCAATTTGTTATCTTTAATATGTGAAAAACCCTAAAATGTATAAAATCCCCAAGGAAATAGCACTATATTTACAATTTAAAAGTTCGCTACCATGAAGAAAAGTGGTTGTATTATTTTCTTTGGAAGCGTCTTATCTGAGAATTAATCCTCTGAGAGACCCTTTACAACCCGATTTCGCTTGTCAGCCTGAGTTAACCTGGAGTTCTTCCTGCTGAGATTTTGCATTAGGGAAGAAAAGATATTTGCATCTGTCATTCAGCAAGATTATGAAATTCTAATTGCAATAATACTTAGGTGTTTTAGTGTTGAGAGTGAAGCCATTTTTCCTCTAAGGCCATTCTTTTTTCCCCAAGGGCCGGTCTGGTAAGGCGTGTGGAGCTGGGGGTCGAACCACTGTATCCCACACCTGACTGCATTTGCATAAACAGACACTCAAACAACTGAGCTAGCCGGCAGGCCCCTCTAAGGCCATTCTAGCAAATGTAAAATCCAAATATTGAAAGCCAGTGTATTCAAAAAATTTTTGGTCGGGTGGCCTAAGCATGGAATCGTGAAAATTCAAAGTGTGTCAGTAAACATCAAAAACTCAAAAGCATTCTGCTTCGATAAGGTAGGATGACAGTACAACAAGAAATTTGACTTTTCCCTTTGAGATCGGTGCAGCCTGTGAGACGGTAAAGCAGGTCTGGAGGACGTGGAGCATCTTGCGTAATTCCAGAGGCTATGTTGCTGTTTCACAGAACAAGCATTTTTTCTAAAATGCAACATAACTGCCAGAAATAACACCCAGCGAGGCCCACGCAGAGGGAAGCGGTCACCTGCCACCAGGACTCTCAAGTCTTAACTTTCATTTGTCCTAGCCACTGACCACATGTTCTTCAGTGACGCTCAGGAGCACATTTCTTAGCAAACAAAATCAACTATTACAATGTACTCATTGTTACCACTGTTCATACACTGCTTGCTGAAAAAAAGCCTCTGAATGAAATCTGTCACTCAGTATCCAAATGTCTGTGTCATTCAGCAAGATTATGAAGCCATTAAAGTATATCCCTTTCTTAGAGCTGGCCAGATAGCTCGGTGGATTAACGCGCCTGCTTAGGCAGATGCAGGGAGCATGGTTCAATCCTCTGCGTGTGGCGACAGCTGCTGAGACTGGGCATGGTGGCGACTTGGGAGGCTGAAATCAGGAGGATCACTGAGCCAGATCTATGCAGACAGACCCTGTAGACCGTGTACTATATACATTAAAAAAAAAAGTGTATCCCTTTCTCTACACCATGGTGTGGACTTCACAACCTCCACAGAGACAGCTGGTAAACCCAGGAAATTTATTTGGGCAAGGCATCATTGTTCTTTATTTTAAATCCTTGCAAATGGAGTTTTGTCAGAGGACACCAGACCATGACTGATGGGTCTATCACTATCTGAGAAGTTGCCAGGCTCAGCTCTAAAATGAACTAATGTGTACTTTTAAACAATCTTATGGCATAGCTAATGTATCAGGGTTTACAACCTGTAATACATAAAGATACAAATCTGTATCAGATAAAACATCTTTGAAGCAGAAATAGAAGAATTAGGCCTCATCTTGCTAAAAGTTCCTTTCACTCATTGACTGCATTCATTCAAACCCTTACCGAATGCTGACTGGGCACTAAGAGTTATTAATGACTAAATAGGGTGGTATCCTTGATTATTATGGGCTGTAGACCAGGACTAAATGAAGGCGAGACAATCATGTACTCAAACGTAATAAACAGTAATGGTTTTCTTTTGTAAATGCTTAAATAGTATGTTCACAGTCATGCCGCTAAATGAAGTCCGTGGCCTGGGTTGGACCATCTATAAAATGTGGATGATAGAACAGAGCTCGGTGGCATGCACCATTATCCTAGGACTGAGGAGACTGAGGCAGAAAGGTGACTTGAGCTCAGGATGTCGAGGGCAGCCTGGGCAAAAGAGGAAGACCTCATCTTCTACAAGCATGAAATTTGGAAGATGATATGACTTTGCAGAGAAGTTGTAATGAATGAAGTTAGTCATAGCCACAGGCCACATGACTACTATTGTGATTTGTGATTTGCATATTTTAGTTAAATATTTAGTTAAATAAATTGATCTGTCAACCTAAGTCTGTTCAATGTGGTCTCTCAGTGATTCTAATGACTATGTCGTTTCTTATCTTTTGAATGCCATGGAAGGTTCAGGATAAGGAGAGAACTTGGTGAATAGAGGGCCGGATGTTCACACTCATGCTATCTACTTTAGGCTCCTCTGCAGAATTGGAATAACAGTGCCAACTATCACGAGTTAACCAAACTTAAAAATAGAAGCAACTCTCCAATTATCTGTGATAGGTCAGGCACCCTGCCCCAAACGCATTCCCGCTTGGCTTCCCAGGTACCCTGCTCCCCAATTCTCTCCTCCTTGGCCCCTCGCAGAGCCAACCCAAAACCACAGAACAGGTCCACCTGACTTTGATCTGGGCAAGCAACCACGAACTCTTCTTTATTAACATTGAAAGTCCCCCACAGACCAGGTAGCCTGCCCAGATTAGCTCTCCCTCAGCTGTCCCAGCCTACAATCACCCTCCCAAAAATCCTATAAGGTCTCCTGTCCCCCCTTTATTCGCTGCTGTCTTGGTCCACTAGACAGCAAGCCTGCTTGCTGCCCCCAGTAAATATTGGACTCATGTCAGAATACCTGGTCTGGTCGATCGCATGGCCTCATACCTAACAATCTGGTTTAAACCCTTTTGCAAGTAGGGAGTCTACAAACTGAGACCGTTTGCAGCTGCGCTGGCTCAGCACACAGTGAATCTATTGCACAGCCTCCTTTGTGGAAGTTGTGGTGCGAGTATTCAACATTAAGACATCTATTCTTCGTAACTTTTTAGTAAAGTTTCTAGTTTCCTCAGGGGAATCCAACCTAGCGAAATTTTAATCTCTGGATGGCCGCTTTGGCTGTGAAAGCTTTAGCTGAGGTTTTAATGGCCAGACTTAAGCAAATTTAACAGATACACCAGCAGGTGTTCTAATTACATACACCAATTAGAGGGCATTATGGGAGAATTAAATTTTTTCCTATTAAAATAAGCTGTAGTTCATAAGCAGCATAATTTACCAGCAGGAAAGATTCTGATGACCCACAAGGATTCATATAAAAATGAAACTTAGGAAGAGAGAAGTCATAGTACTCAACACATCCCAGAGGAAGCTGCCGTTCACCTGCCAACAGGTAAACGCTTTCGATTTCTAGCGCTCTTGCTGGTATTTGGTTTTATCTTTCAGATGGCATGTTCTTTATGTCTGCAGGGCACTGTATCACCCCAAGGGCTAATCCAGGTGGGATGGTGGTAGAAGCAGCTTTGTCCTGCGTTGGTCTTGTCATGCCGGCCACTGAGATGCTGCCTCTGCGGAATCCAGTAGCTCATTGACCAGTGATTGAGTCTGACTTCAGCCTCTTCCTCAAATTAATTAATTTAGAGAAACAGTTCATCAAATAATTAGAGGCTCCCTTGGTGAGGGTTTTGCTCCCGGACTCATTACTTTGAGTTCCCATGGTGTCCTCTTTCTCTCAGAGGTTCCAGGCAGCAATAAGGCTTGGAAGACAAGAGGGGAGGTAGCAAAGGGTCACAAGTGCCACAAAGTAGCCATCTAAGTCAAGGGACTTCATACTAACCTGAGATACCCAGGAGGGGCTCCTGTCAGAGCACCCAGTAGAGTTCTCTTGAACACAGGAATGACAAGGCTGAAGTTAACACAAGAAAATGAACTTGGTAAGGGATAAATCATGGGTTTTGAATAAACTTTTTTTAAAAATGGAGTAATTTAG